GAAATTGAATGTTTCGTTTTTGTGTAAAATATTTTTTCTCCTATTTTTCGATTAATACATAGCATAAAACTCAGCAGGTCTCTGACTCAATAAGCACTTAAAAGGAAATTTAAAATAACCATTAATAAGATAGCCATTTTCTTCCTGTGTTCAATCCTCTCTGCTAAACTTGGACTCATGGGTTGAGAGACATTTGTAATATATATTAGGGGTTTGAATTCGTGGGAAAATATACTTAATGAGATCTTAGTAACCTTACTTGGAGTCCGGTTTAGCATAACACCCAAAAGGGATTGAAATCTCATGATAAAAAAAGAAAATCAAAATCTATTTCAATATGTAAAGTCTGATGAAGGATGATTTACAATTTAAGAGAAGAAGTCGTACCATTTCGCAACGTTAATTAAGATATGACATGAGTTTCAGTGAAAACTTACAATAATACTTGCATATTGTCCGTTGTTGGTACTAGCTAACTAGTGGCAAGATATTCAAGCCAAGGTGCAGCGGTAATTAGAGCAGGCTAATGCTAAATATAAGAAGGCGAAGGCATACAGTAGAATAGCATGGTAGAAAATAAGTTTTTGGAGTCTAAATTCAAGTGATATGCCAAAAGAGCAATTCCTAGTTGGAACCTATAGCAAGTTGTAGCGTAAGTAGCTAAAACTAAAAGGAAATCAATTAAAGATATAATTAGGGATATGCATGGAGTGATTCGGTTCGGTTATTGTCAAAAACCGAACCAGTTTTAAACGGTTTGGATTTTAAATCGAGTTATTTTTTTTTATAAAAAAATCCGGTTTTTAATTTTTCCAAACCGATTTAAAATTGGTTTCAAAATCGGTTTGTGGTTCATAACCGGTTTTGATTTAAAACCGGTTTTGAATCAAAACCGGTTTTGATTCAAAATCAACTATGAACCACAAACTGGTTATCAAGATTAAAAACTGATTTTATAACAATTTTTTTTTTTTAATGAATAGGATGCAGAGATTTTCACGTGTGTATCACGTTATGTTTTCTCGGTAAGTTTGAGAGCTTTGAGTGAGATGCTATGGATATTTTGTTTCTTAGTTATGTAGCTTATAACTGTAAATTTTATGTTTTTTGGGCAGACTTGAGAAGGACAGAAACTGTAACTATTTTTGGGTTCGGTGTGCTAAGCTTATCTGTGTAAGTTTCTTATTATCCTAATAACATTCTAAAAAGAAAGATGAATTTGATGCAAGTTCAATAGACTAATTATTTGAGTGGTTTCTATAGGTCACCCTTTTTGCTGTTCATTGTGCTAGATGCTTCTATTATTTTATTGCTGCACCTTATCATGATCCCAAAAGGACGTGGATTGGGGCATCAATGGATGATTTCCTTCATCAGAGCTTGTGGAAAAGATATGTGACATCCATTTACTGTTCTATTACTACTTTGACAACGGTTGGTTATGGAGATTTGCATCCAGTGAATTCAAGAGATGATCTTTGACATCTTTTACATGCTCTTCAATCTGGGATTAACAGCATATCTGATTGTTAATATGACAAAATTTGAAAAATTTGGGTCAGATCCAGATGGAAGTGTTGAAGTGGTGAAATTTGGGAATTTGGGAGCTAAGGTTAGAAATCAGAATAGAATAGGTTAAAACGTAAAATGATTAAAAAAAATGGATATGATTTGATTATCTAGTATATCCAAACCATTTGATAAATGGATAACCAAATCATATTTAAAATTAAAAAATGAATATATTTTTTAACCAGATTAAAAAAAATCGGTTTTTAAATTTGATTTGGTTTGAATTTTGATTTGATTTGGATCAATTGGATATTTTGCATATCTCTAGATATAATGCCTAAGTAGCTAAAACTGAAAGGAAAGTCAAAATATCATTTAATGTGGACATCTATACATTTCACTCATTGAATGAGTCTTTGTACCTGGGGTTTAGTTTTTCTTAAATGGGGTGGATTGACCGTTAAATGCATAACAATAGAATATTTAGATCGCCCAGAGCAATATTCGAAAGTGTGGGTGTAATTGGGCATAACTTTTGATTCGAGAGAACACTGTAGGCTATTTGACCATTGTGTTCTTTTTTTTTTTTTTTATCAAAATAAGTAATATTTTGTTTCTATTTCAAAATATTTCATCAATCTATTTCTGTTTAACCATGATCGACTCATATATTCGAGCACATGATTTTATATTCGAGTATATTTTGTATTTTGAGTTTTTTTTTTTACATTTACTCGAGTATAGGACCTAGATACTTAAATATTTATTGTTTCAGACAATGTATTCGAGTATATAGGTCATATACTAAATGATCAAAAAATTTACTCTGGAAATTTTTCAACGTGTAAGTCTCAAAAAAATTATGTAGAATAAAAAAAAGTATTTAATTTGAATATCCAAATCAAAAGTCATGGTATTTCAAAATTTTACTCTAAAATTTTATAATGCCAACATTTTCAAAATCTCGTGGAAAAAAATTTAACAGTGGAAATGAATATTCAACTTAAACTTAGTTAAGATATAAAATATTATTTAAATATTTCTTAAACAATTTAATTGGTAAAATTGTAGGGTCGAATCTTAAAATCTGGTTTTGTAAAAAAATATTGTTAAACTTATTTCTAGTAAGTCGACTCTCAAATTATTAAAAAAGTTAGATAAATACTTAATCATATCTTTCTCATAAGTAATAAAATAAATTTCATAATTATATAATTAAATTAATCAAACAATTTTTTATTGCACCATTTAGTCAAAATATTCCGATGTCGGCCAAATTAAAGACCGAATTAAAAGTCTATGGTTCTGAAAAGTTATAGCTGGTAAATAGTTTGAGTCAAGAAAAAAAAAACAAATTAATTAGGTTGAAATTCTAGGCAGAGTAACCTGTAGTCAGTAATAAAAATATTCACATTATACACCCAGAAGGAATTTCATCTAAATGGATGGCAATATCCTTAAAAAAAATATTAAAAGTTTTTTTTTAAAAAAAAAAAAACACTCAAGATACCTCAGCATATCCATGCAGGAAGAATCCCAAATTCATACAACAATGACTTGGTCCTATTCCTATACTTAATTCTCCACGTGCGTGGCAGCTTGATCGAAGATTTGAACTGGTTGTAATCTATTGACCTCTAGGGTCCACCGAGATCGTACCAATATACTATTATACATTGTTCGTCTTTGCTTATGATTGTCATTTACTTAGTAGATAAACATTTTATTAATTTTATGTCAAAGGAGATAAGTTATCTTATGTCATAGACATAGATTTATGAGTTTCATAATCTGAAAAAAAGAAAGATAACATGATTATCAAATGATATATAGAAGAAAAAACTTATCTCATAAAACATGAGAATAATTTTTTCCATTATATATTTATAATTCTTTAGATTGATCACTTGTATATTTTGAATTATGGCATATATATTAGAAAGAAATCAAAAGAGCAACTTCTGTTCAAATAATAATTAGCATATTGTTGGCCGTAGTTTCATAATTATGCAGATATTTTGGAAAATATAAAAAATAAACCTTTCAATTTTTCAATAACAACAAGTTAATATTAATTAAAAATAATCAAATATTAAAAAAATAAAAAAATGATATTAGATAAATACTTAAGACAAAACCCTAGTCGTGTTTTTTTCTTCTTCTCTTATTCTGTTCATTTGTTTTCTTCAAAACTTATTTAAAATGATGAGACTACTAATTTTTTTTTTGAGGGAGGTTATATTTATAATTTTTTTTACAACATTTTACAACTATTTTTTTATCCTTAAATCAAAATTAAATAAATGATTATAAAATGACATCAAACGACAACTGTTGATTTAATCTTGATTTAAAGATAAAGAAAATAATTATAAGTAAATTTAGATTATAAATATAACCTCACCGACAACTCTTCCAGTCATATCATGTTTCTTTAATTTTTTCTTACATTTTTAATAGCTCATTTATATATGTCAGATATTAATGAAATTTTGTTCAAATATCTTTTTGTGAGTGATTTCATGAGTTTCTTTATGATATTTATAGTTCTGCAGGTTTACTTATAAGGGGATACAATCTTCGAGCTACAATTCCATATAAAAAAATGTTTTATTTTTATAACATTCTATTAAATGAAATAACTTTCTTCTACGTTTTACTTTAGAGTCAATAAGTGTTTTTTTTTTTTTTTAATTTATAAGTATATACAATCTTCCAGCTGCAATCCCTTTCTTTTTTTTTTATTTTTTTTATTTCTATAGTATTCTATTAAACGAAATAACTTTCTTCTATGTTTAAGTTTAGAATCTAAAAGTGTATATATATTTTTTTTCTTTCTATTTTTGCTTAATTTATAAGTATGCTTCATCACAACACATGACCCATACACATGTCTCACTCGCAATGGACTCACAAGTGCAAAATAATTAGGTTCAATGTGGTTCACACCGAAGGGGAAATCTGCATAAATACCCATTTTCACTATTACCATTGAAGAAGTATCTTCGACACAATACTCATCAGTATTTTTACTCCGTTGAATTCTAGCCTCAAGAGTCACCGAGCCCTTCATCCCTTGATTCTTAGTGTTCGCATGAGATCTAAAGTGACTCAATTTTTATTTTTTAAGCTCCAATTCATATTACTATCTCACTAGATTTTCATAATATTAACATACTACACCATTAGAGAGGAAAAATATCTTAAAACCATACAACACGAACATGTCAAATGTAGTAACCCCACTTCGTTATTAAAAATAATTCGAATAAGATATACTAAAAGGCACAGTGTGAGTTTTATTATAATTTTTTTCACAAAGAGGCGGATAATATTTTCATTTAAAAATATTTGATATATGACATTATTGCTAAGGCATATATGACGATTTAGACTTTACAACAAAAGTTAATAAATTATTATAAGATAATAATGAATATGAAAAAAGAAAAGGAAAATGGGGAAACAGAGTGAAGAGTTTTGATTTCACGCGGAGGAAGGGGAGGCTAGCTAGCTGGCTGTCGGAGAGAGATCTCTCTCCAGATCCCTCTGGCACGTGACTCCCCACCTCACCTCTCTCTCTTTCCACACACACACGCTCACTCTCTCTCTAAACTCTTAATTCTCTCCCAAACCCAAAGCAAAGCCATCGCTTTCTTCTTCCATCAAATCCTAAACCCAAAACAATCAAATCTCTCTCTCTCTCTCTCTCTCTCTCTCTCTCTCTCTCTCTCCTAGTTCCTCGTTTCCATCATCACGCTTAGTTTTGTCTTTTTCTCTCCGTTCATATTGGCGTGTGTTATGTGTGTGTATGTAATGGCTCCAGCGAGGTTGATGCGATGATGCGGAGAGATTGAGGTTCAAATGCTATATAAGACGAGAAGCATTTTTTTTCGCTTAACTGCTTGGATCTTGTGAAGGTATAACCACTCCTCTTCTTTTCTTTTTTGTCTTCTTCTTCACTCTATATTCTTGGATTTTACTCATCTTATTGGCGGCAATTTGAATTCAGTTATCTTTGTTTCTTCTTTTGTCACAGCTGTAGCTATAGCATTATCAGTTTAAGCATCCTTCACTCTCTCTCTCTCTCTCTCTCTCTCACTTTGCATTGGACCTTCGATCATCGATGCTTTCTTTGGTATAATCTTTTTCTTTTTCTTTTTTCTCTTTTGCTTATTGCCGATTTAAATCTTGGACTTTGGAGTTCGACTTTTATTTATTTATTTATTTTCTTGAAATTTGAAATTGAGTTCTTGTAAAGTGGTCCTCATGCTTGTTTCGAAGTTTTTGCTGCTGCTTTAGTTGAGAAGCTTCTTTTATAGTCGGCGGTTTCTGTGTTGTTCTATTGAAGTAACTAGTTTTTGTGGTTCTTTATAGAAATGCATTAATGAATGAATTAATAAAAGGAGATGATGTAACATGAAATCCGAAGCTCTCCCTTTCGGTTTTTGGCTAAAGCAAGGGTAGAAATCATATATGGAAAGCAACGTTGACTTTGGAAAGAGAAGAGAGTAGACTTGGGGACTTGAGTATGGATAGTTGGTTTAGTTGGAAAGATATGGATGAAGACTAAGACTATTAGGATAAAAATCAAGAAACTTGAAAGAAGAGGGTATGGGAGAGAATCTTTGGTATACCAAATCAGGGAAATTAATATAAATAGATTAAAGATGTACGTTTGGAGACTTCAGTTTTGTGCCAGCAGTTTTTCCTTTAAATTTGCAATGAACAGTAGTACAACAAGTAGTTGTAAAAAGTGATGGTCGATACTCATGACTGTATGCTATGTTTATGCTTGAGTGTTTGATCTTAGGTAAAGGGTCCCTTCTTGCTTTAGTGGACCGTACTGTACTGATTTACCGGTGAGACTTAAGTTGTTCACATACAAAACATTGTTGGTCCAATGTGTGGAGAGGTGACTGAATTACTGTTTGCTTTGGCACTTTGGAGAATCATATTATGAACTAGTAAAATGTCATACAATTTTGAAAATAATCTACAAAATAACGTATGGAAATAATATGAATGCGTGGCATTTGGAGTTACAATTGTACATAATGTATATATGGAATGGAAATATCAGCATTCAGCCCATTATGCACAAGGATGTGAATGTTACATTTTTGGCATTCACAACAATGGCCTGATTATTTGATATAATCACCGTATAACATATCCACAACCCAATATTGAAGATAATTTCTGCCCTTAAACGTGGATATTTGAGTTTCCTAGTGCCATTTTCTGGGTCATAGCCACATCATAGATGTTGGGGGCACGCTCTATTTATTTCCTCTTTTATTGGTGGAAGGAATGTACTCTGAGTTGGAAGTGGTCTGTAGAAGGTCTCAATAGTCAACTTCTAGTCATATGGTTTTAACATCCTTTTCAGAGTGAAGGTAGATTACAGGTTCAATATCTGATGTTACTGTGTGGCATAACCATGAAAAGGATATAACGGGAATGCCAAACTTGCTGAGAGATTTACCCCCCATGGTTGTTGAATGTTTATGCATGATTTGGACTGAGTTCATCATTTCTTTTTATGTCCTCTGAGATCATCGTAGTTGAAAATATCACTTCTGAAATAATCTCCTGTGGTTGCTTCTGGAATCATCTCAGTGACTGACCCATAAATGTCAGCTGTGACTTGTGGCAATTTAGTCCAGAGAGAGATTCTTGCACAGGAGGAGCTAGGGTATTTCTAACAAACTTTTCAACTTTTTTTTTTGTACTGAACTTTATTGAGTCTTGATTGGAAATGCTTCAGTTTCATGTGGTATGTAATGAATTAAAAATTCTTTTCTTATATACTGATATTGTTCTCTCATCATAATATGCCGTATACCTTTCATTTGGTTCATGCAGGTTATGTAGCCTCTGGCTTGAAACAGTTGGAGCTACTAAAGTATGCGTTTCAATAATTTGTGGGTTTAGAACCACCTTTAGCTTTGATACATCTCTTATGGATTAAGAAGTGCAGCGAAATGGTTTTACATTCCAAATGTATAAGAACATGGAGGAGACACGAGAAGATGCAGGGCCCACAGAGCAAAGGCCATCCAATGTGTGGTGGCCTTCAGATTTCATTGAAAACTTTGGATCTGTTTCTTTGGGTTCTCAAGATGAGATCTTGAATAATAAAGATTCACCTGGACATTCGAACCAAGATGTTATGACACCTCAGAAGGCGTCACAAATTCTCTGGCGCACTGGAATGCTTTCAGAACCGATACCAAATGGTTTTTATTCAGTCATTCCGGTGAGGATTGATTCGTACATCACCTTCTGTGCGTAATTTTTTATTTAGAAGGATGTATAAATGCACTTGGTAGAATTGCTAGTAATTTGTTATTGTGCGTAAATTTTGTTGTTAAGTGAAATTCAATACTTCTTAGAGACATTTACCGAAGTTGTAAGAGTTTTTATTTTCTTTTCCTTTGTTTTATATAACAATTCCTGCCCCCAAAATTTGCTTGAGTCATTGATATTTGCTCTTTATAGAACTCTTATTGTGTTAGTTTTATGCTTTTTTCCTTCACAATTTAAAATAATATACATGAGAAGTTTGTAGCATGGTGCATTTTTATTGATCATGTTACAAGTGCACATGCTTGGAGTGTAGTTGTGTTTTCAATATGACTTACTCATTGAATTGGAGTTTTTAATTTGGAACGATTAAGTCCAAAAAAATTAATTGACAAACAATGTTATATTCCATTTGTTGAGAATAATTGAATTGAGTTTGAACTTTTAGTTCTAGTCACTTGGGAGCAAAACATCCTTTGAAATAACAATTTTTATTTTTTATATCTTTTTGAGAATTATTTTTCTTTGTTTATCTTACTTCATGTATTGGGACAATACTCTCTTCTGTTCTGTACTATCTTCGTCGTCTCTTGATAGTTCTTCTTTTAGGAAAAATGGGAAAAGAAGACCCCTATGAGAAGCAGCTTTTTTAGGAAAAATCAGTGTAATACAAACTACAAATATTAAGCACTCAGCATTTGGGATCTCTTGCAGCTACTTGGTAAGAGTGGTGTAGCATCCATGTCAGTGACGTAATTAGTGGAGCTGGCATAGCAAATTGCATTTGCTTCGCCTGGTGCAGACTAGAGGCAAAGGATTAGAACATGTCTTTAGCCTGTGAAAATAAATTAGTGTATATAGTATCATACTATCATTAGTGGTGTCATCGATTGTTGAAGAAAAGATCATTTAGTTTTTCAGCAAGAGGTAAACTGGGTATATTCTGGAATTTGACAGTGGTAACTTATGATACATATTCTATTGAAGTTTCCTGATGGAAGATGATCATATTTCAGCCCATTCTGTTTAACATATTTTTTTGTTAAGCTCTTATGGTTACTTAGCTGTACTAGCCATTTGCATAGCAATATAGTTTTAAATTGTTTTGCAATAACCTTCTGCTCATTCATGGCATGTATTATTGTTTTAGTTTATATATAGTATTCCTGTTCTTCATGTGTAACTAAAATGTTTTTTCCAACATGTTTTATTGTCATCAATTAATCTGATAATGTGCAGGAGAAAAGACTCAAGAAATATTTTGATGGTATTCCTACTTTGGAGGAGCTTCATGCTTTGGGTGGAGAGGGTTTTAGGGCTGATATCATTGTTGTGGATGCAGAAAAAGATAGAAAGTTATCTATGTTGAAGCAACTAATTGTGGCATTGGTTAAAGGATTGAACTCAAACCCAGCTGCAATGATTAAGAAGATAGCTGGATTAGTATGTACTTTTGTTGTATCTAATTTTGTAGCTCTTGTTTACTGTGTACAGTTTTCTTAATATTATTCTTACTCCACTTTCATCATGTGATAAGATTTTTTCCCCTTGTACAAAAATGTATTTTACGATGTCAAATACTTTCCAAAATAGCCCGTGGCAATTTTCAAGAGACTTGTTCATTTTAGTTGGCTGTGCTATTCACATTCTCTACTTTCTGATTTTATTCAGCTGATTTTTTTCAATGAAATTATTCCACCTTAATTATCATTTAAATGTTTGTTGATAAGCATTAATGGGATTAGTTTCAATTATCTATAAGAATTTTCTTTTCATTGTCTTGATTCATTATTTAGTTTATTTTCAAAGCATAGTAAAAAGGTGCTCTGAGTATAAAGAACTACTTCAACCCAAAATCTTAAGGTGTCGGGTGAGGGTCTTTTTAATGGTTTATATTATTCTCTAACACACCCCCTCACGTAAGAGCCCTTTAGACTTGAAGCGTGGATATTGCACAGGCCCAATTTTTTTGGTTTTACCTTGTGCTTATTTAATTCCACTTGAAAGTGGGGGGTGGTGAGGGGCTAATTCATGACCTTATGGTCACAAAAGCTCTGATAGCATGTAAAGAACCACTTTAACCCAAAACTTTAAGGTGTTGGGTGAGGGTTTTTTTAATAGTTTATATTATTCTCTAACACTGAGTTTATTTTGACCTCAATTTCTACACAGGTTTCTGATTTCTATAAACGACCACATGTAGAAAGTCCAGCAAAAACTGCACTAGAGGAATCCTCTCACATGTTTGAGAATCGTGGTGTCCAGATGCTGGGGCAAATAAGGCATGGTTCATGCCGTCCTCGAGCCATCTTATTTAAAGTATTAGCAGATACTGTAGGTCTTGAAAGCGGGCTTATGATGGTAAGCTGTGATTTCTTTTGGTTGAAGCAAATTGCAATTTCTCTCTGCCATCACTTGACTAATTGTTTGCCAATGTTTCAATCTAATACAATGTGTTTAGCAAAAGAACTAAATGATAAATATTCAATTTTGTTTACTATATATCTAATTTTGAAGGATGTCTTGTTTCGCCATTCTTTTTATCAGGGTTTTCCAAATGATGGGGCTGCTGAATGTGTAGACTCATACAAGCATATGTCTGTGATAGTTGTGTTAAATTCTGTGGAATTGCTGGTTGATCTTATGCGTTTTCCTGGCCAACTGTTGCCCCGATCAACCAAGTCAATTCTTATGACCCACATTTCTGCAGCAGGAGAGAGTGATTCAGCAGAAAATGATTCTTGTGATTCACCACTAGAGCCAAACAGTCCCTTATATGGGGTTTCAGAGAGGTTAGATCCTGAGAGGTATGGAAATTGATTATTTTTTGCTTTGGCTTAATTGCACTTCTGCTACCTCTCGTTTCTCTAGGATTTGATTTTGTAGAAAATTAGAATTCAAACATGTTTCCGTTTTTATTTCCTATTAATTAGGATTGATTATGATTGATTAGGATTGATTATGATTGATTAGGATTAATTGTGATTGATTAGAATTGATTGTGATTAGGATTGTGATAGGATTGATTAGTCATCGCTTAGTCATTCTTAGCGATTCTTTCTTGTATAAATACTCACTCATGTAATTTATTCAATATCAATATACAAAAACTTCTTTTCAATATGGTATCAAAGCGGGTTCGTTCCTACCCTAATTCAAATCTGAAATAACCATCCAAACACTTCCATCACCGTCAAACACCTCCTAAACACCGCCTTGAATCTGTCCAACACAGAAACCTAGTTTACTGACCTCCGATCAAAAAAGTGAGGTGACCATTCGACTCAGAAGGATCCGACGAGTCGACCGCCGCTGGACCCATCGCCGTCAGCCGCTGCACGCGCCACCACGCGCCGCTTTCCAGACGTTTTTTTTCCGTCGCGACTTGCACAAACCTTCTCGCCGGCTTCTCCCCTTCCTGTTCCAGAGGTCAGATCAAAAGTTTACAAAACTTGATTTTTCATCAACGGTCAACCCTTCTCTTTTTATTCATGGCTTCCTCAAAACACTCTTTTTATTACCACGAGCAACCTCCTAAGGCCACTAGTCATGTGGTCCAGCAAGGTACAACTTTCCATGTTGATAGTCAAAATCATTGGATCCTTGATTCTGGAGCCTCTGATCATATGACAGGTAATCTTGGCTTGTTTTGTTCATACACTCCATATTCTGAACCTTCTCGGGTCAAGATCGCCGATGGCAGTTTTTCCCAGATTGCGGGACACGGAACCATTAAATTTTCTGAGCTGATTACTTTGACATCAGTTCTTTATGTTCCTTCTCTGACTTGTAATCTCATTTCCATTAGCAAGCTCACCTCTGAGTTGCATTGCTTTGCTAAATTCTTTCCACATGGTTGTGTTTTTCAGGAACAGGACTCGGAGAGGATGATTGGCAGTGCTAGAGAGGATGGTGGACTTTACTACTTTGAGGAGGATGTGACTCATGAAGCTGTTTTCGTAGAAAAAAACTCTATGTTTCCTTTTGATTCATGTAATGATGTTATGTTGTGGCATCGTAGGCTAGGCCATCCAAATTTTATTTATCTTCAGAAGTTGTTGCCAAACTTATTTATTAATAAAAGTCCAAGTTTGTTTTCTTGTGATATTTGTCAACTTGCCAAGCATACTCGTGCTCATTATCCTTCTAAAGTTCACTATGACTCTTCCCCATTTTCCTTAATTCATAGCGACATATGGGGTCCAGCCCGTGTTAAAAATATTTCAGGTACTCGATGGTTCATTACCTTCATTGATGACCATTCTCGAGTTTGTTGGGTGTATCTTCTAAAGGATAAGTCCGATGCTGCATCCGTGTTTAAAAAATTTCATGCCATGGTTCAAACCCAATTCCAAGTTGCTATACAAATTCTTCGTACAGATAATGGCAAAGAGTATTTTAACTCTATTCTTGGAGAATATCTTTCCCAACATGGCATCCTTCACCAAAGCTCGTGTCCTGACACACCCCAACAAAACGGAGTTGCGGAAAGAAAAAACCGACATCTCCTTGAAGTTGCTCGGACTCTAATGTTTACCACGAGTGTTCTTAAATATCTTTGGGGAGAGGCAGTTCTCACTGCCTCGTATCTGATAAATCGAATGCCATCTCGCATTCTGAAATTTCAGTCTCCTCTTTCTAGTCTTGTTCGTATCTTCCCTTCCTTCCGAGGTGTCTCCTCCTTACCTCTCAAGTTATTTGGTTGTGTTGTATTTGTCCATATTCCCTCCCATCAACGGTCTAAGCTTGATCCTAAGTCTCTCCAGTGTGTCTTTATTGGTTATTCTCCTACTCAACGTGGCTATAAGTGTTATTCACCCTCTCTTCGTAAGGTCTTTGTCTCTATGGATGTCACTTTTTCTGAGAATGACCCTTTCTTCCCCTCGACTTCTCTTCAGGGGGAGTCTATAGGAGTAGATGAAGATCAGTCATGGGAACCTATTAATGCCACAGTATTACCTCTACTTTTGGAAACAGGGGGAGCTACAGAATCCTCACCATCAGGAGCCTCCTCAAAATGGGGACAAGTTTATAGCAGGCGAAAGCCTCCTCAAAGTGTGAATAACCCAGAGCCTCTACACTGCCAGGATTCTGAACCATGTTCTAGTTCCAGCACCCCAATACTTGAGTGTCATGGTGAAAATGATCTACACTTGCCCATTGCTCTCAGAAAAGGTACTCGATCTTGTACTACTCATCCTATTTCTAATCATATTTCATATGGAAAGTTGTCCCCAGGGTTTCGTGCTTTCAATACTATGTTGGATAGTACAAAGATACCGAGAAATATACATGAGGCTCTCAATGATAAAAAATGGAGGGATGCTGTCTTTGAAGAAATGAATGCTTTAGAAAGAAATGGAACTTGGGAGATAGTGACCCTACCCAAAGGAAAAAAGGCAGTAGGATGCAAATGGGTGTTTACAATAAAATTCAATGCGGATAATAGCATCAACAGATACAAGGCAAGATTGGTTGCAAAGGGTTTCACTAAGACTCATGGGATAGATTATCATGAGACTTTTGCTCCGGTTGCTAAAGTCAATACCATCCGAGTTCTCTTATCTCTTGCTGCCAATCTAGATTGGCCTCTGCAACAGTTAGATGTGAAGAATGCATTCCTAAATGGTGACTTACATGAAGAAGTCTATATGGATCCTCCACCTGGTTTTGAAAAGGGAAATGGATCAGTGTGTAAACTAAAAAAGTCTCTATATGGATTGAAACAGTCTCCCAGAGAATGGTTCGACAAATTCACACAAGCAGTCAAAAGAAGAGGCTTCATTCAAGCACAGACTGATCATACTCTCTTCCACAAACACTCTAAGGATGGTAAAATTGCTATTCTTATTGTATATGTAGATGATATAATTCTTACAGGTGATGATATTGAGGAATTGAACACCTTGAAGAAATTTCTAGCAGCTCAATTTGAACTCAAAGACCTTGGCACTCTCAAATATTTCCTTGGTATGGAAGTTGCTAGGAGCAAAACAGGTATCACTCTAACACAAAAGAAATATGTTCTAGATCTTTTGTTGGAAACAGGAATGTTAGGGTGTAAACCTGCTGAGACACCTGTGGAACCTAATACCAAGTTAGGTATTGAAGATGGGAATGAGGTGGATAAAGAACAATATCAGTGATTGGTTGGTAAACTAATCTACTTATCTCATACGCGTCCTGACATTGCCTTTGCGGTGAGTATGATTAGTCAATTCATGCACTCACCCAAGGAGAAGATCTTAGTGCAGTCTATAGGGTGCTTAGATACCTCAAGAATACTCCAGGAAGAGGATTATTCTTTAAAAAGGGGTATAAAAGGACAATTGAAATCTACACTGATGCAGATTGGCAGGCTCATCAGTAGACAAAAGATCTACCTCAGGCTATTGCACCTATGTGTGGGGAAATCTTGTTACTTGGAGAAGCAAAAAGCAAACAGTGGTTGCAAGAAGTAGTGCTGAAGCAGAATTTCGAGCTTTAGCTCATGGAGTTTGTGAAGGAATCTGGTTGAGAAGACTTCTTCAAGAGTTGAAGATTTCATATTCCCTACCAATAAAACTATATTGTGACAACAAGGCAGCTGTTAGCATTGCTCAAAATCCTGTGCATCATGATCGAACAAAGCACGTGGAAGTTGATCGTCACTTCATCAAAGAAAAATTAGATGATGGAAGTGTGCATTTGATATATGTTCCAACCAAAGAGCAAACGGCAGATGTCCTTACCAAGGGCCTACACCGTCCAGCATTCGAAGACTTGATTGGCAAGTTGGGAATGATCAATATTTACCTCCCAACTTGAGGGGGAGTGTAGAAAATTAGAATTCAAACATGTTTCCGTTTTTATTTCCTATTAATTAGGATTGATTATGATTGATTAGGATTGATTATGATTGATTAGGATTAATTGTGATTGATTAGAATTGATTGTGATTAGGATTGTGATAGGATTGATTAGTCATCGCTTAGTCATTCTTAGCGATTCTTTCTTGTATAAATACTCACTCATGTAATTTATTCAATATCAATATACAAAAACTTCTTTTCAATAGATTTCCCCCTAATTTTAATTGTTAACAAATTAACAATCTTGTCCTCATAGTTGTCAAATTCATGCAATTAAGTTCTCCTGTCAGATTGATGTTGATATGACACTCTTTTCTCTGATGTGGCATATTACCACATTGTAACTACAGTGTCGAAAAGGAGGAAAACCTCCAATTCCATAGAAGATTTGAAGCATCTTCAAATGTATCAGGCCTTCCTTTGAGAAATATGATGTTACGATCAAATACCAGTCTGGACGGGAAATTGAGGTAATACTTCTCTTCCTTATCCAAAGATGTTAAGTGTTTCCCTCGTCACATTGTTTTCTTTTCAGTTAAAGGTTTTCTTCTCTATTCTTTTCCCCATTTCAGTTTAAAAAATATATATATTTTTATTATGATCATTTTATTTTATTTTTTTGTATAGTTTGTGAACCTTATTTGACTAGAGTCTCTTAAAGATGTAGAATACCAACCGTTTCTTGTTGAATGGTTTTGTCAATTCCCCCAGTTTGTCTCATAGTGAACCCAACATTGCAACTGCATTTGGTCGCCGTAGTCGGAGAAAGGCCATTGCTGAACAGAGGACTGCTAGTTCAAGGTTATTCATAATTTCCTTGTGTTTTGGATTGATATTAGTATGCTTGTTAGGTCCAGAACAAATTATTGGTATTGTTCATGATCTTGGTCTTAGTTACTTCATTGATGATGGCTTTTAGAAAAGAAACTTCTCTTCAATTCAAATGTTAGATAAAGCCTTTAGTTTAACTTGGATGGCTAGCATTATGAGGTATATTCTTGACTCTGGATTTGCTCTTTGTCCCTGTGAGTATTCTAAGGTTTAGGTTGCGGATAGCCTAGAGTGTTTGACATTATGCCTGGATTACATGACATTGCTGGCAAGAAAAACAATCCTGTATTTGTCAGTATGAAGAAATGTAATTTGAAATTATTCTGTACCCAGTTTGACACGATAGATTAGCTACACTCATTGATGATTACCCTTTCCAAACGTGGGATTTTTTTCATATTTTAAAATTTACAGAAAAGTAATGGTTCTGGTCTGTGTTTTTGAAATTTGTTATTTCTCTATCATGATTTTCATCTTTACCTTTACCTGGAACTAGTTCTGTTTAAACAATGATTATTTACATGAAGACATATTTGGTCTGGTCCCCGACAGAGAATGATAAAAGGAGAAAATGATGATAAATGGAAAATGGTTATTTCTGTAATGGTTCTTCTTGTCATTAATAATGCCAATTTAGAGGGAAAGACTTGTATTTCTCTAGAGAAATCTTGGCTTCACAAGGTGAATGTTTGGTCATTTAACTCATGTTTGAAATATAATATAAAATGTAAAACCATTCATCTTCTTTCACCTAATGGCTTAAGCTTTTGGGACAATTAGTTGTGTGACATGTTATCAGAGCCTATTACCAAGTGAACTATCCCCATTTAAAAACAAAGTTGAATATCAACTCAAGGTAAACCAAGAAGATGAGCTTTTGAAAGTAGTTCATATAGTTTTTTTGGCTCTGATGTTTAGGATCTTGCTTTGGGATAATGGTATTGGTGATGTTGATGTTTAGAATCTTGTCCAAGATGATAGAACTGAAGTAGCTTTTGTCAGAATTGCAATAATGAAACTGATGATGAAATTTCATTTCACTTGGCCCAATTTTATGAGGACCAAATTAGTGTTTCATAATAATGCTGTTGCGAGAAAAGTTCTGTGTACCCAATTATATTTTCTAAATTTGAATCAATAATGCTGATTCAGATTTTTGTTTTTAAGAAAGAAAGAGCTAATTTTAGCATGTATTTTACTTTGCTTGTCTTATTTGCTGAAGTTCCCCCCCCCCCCCCCCCCCCTTTTCTGATATTAGAGCTCTTTGTAATCTACTGACTAGTAGATCTCACACGACTTGTTGGTATTAGATTGATTTTGTAATACAATTATAGCATATTGTCTTCAAATATATACTATTAAATTTCAATTAATAATATCTAATTTATGTAAATTTAAGCACTTCTGATTAACATAATAATCTTTGATCATCAAATGGTTGGATCCTAGAAAACCACATTCTGCTAGAAATTATTCATGGTTTAAAATATCAGGTCTTCCAATGTGGTGCGCATGTCTATCCTGTATATCATCTAAACTTGCCAATTTGGTCTTTCTAATTGGTCTGTGTATTATCATTTGTGAATTGAGTGGCAAGGTTAGCTAAATGAATCTCCAAGTTCCATACTAAACTTACCTTAGAATATTATTAATTTATGCTCAGTATTCTTTTTGTGCTTCAAATATTTGTGGTTTTGCAGTCCAGAACATCCATCATTTCGAGCACGTGGACAATCCAAGCTTAGTGGTGATAGGGCAGCATTTAGAGATTTTTCTGATGACCAGGCTACATCAAGGTTTATGCCTTTCTGATCCCTTAATATTTGCTCGTACTCAGTGAGTGGCTGCTGGCTACTTAATTTTTCACTTACATTTTTTTACTGTGTTCTTATTTATTGAATGAAAACCAAGCACGTCTTAACTCTTCAATTTCATTTTATCCAAGTTTGGGTTGCTCGACCATGTTTTTCACTTTTGTTTATTGTATATATGAAACAGTTCATCGGAGCATGTATTTGATTTTTATGGGTTCTAGACTTAATGATGTTGCAATTACTTATTGAAATTTTGTTAGTTGCATAGATCCTTAATATCTTCACATTTAGTGTCTGTTCAAGTTTTAATAAAAGCAATGATATTGGTTAGTTGGATTTCATATGAAGAACTGCCACCTAAAACTGATAAGGCCTAAAACTAAATAACTAAGTTAAAAAAGGGCAAAATGGTTCTATAAAGATCTTGTTATGTGCGAGGTCCAGGGAAGGGTTAGATTCATTGTGTGGGTCTATAATAGGCAGCCTTACCTTGCATTTGCAAGATGCTAATTACATGGATCGAACCACTGACTTCCGGATCACTTGGCGACAACATCAACTGTTGTGCCAAGGTTCACCTTCAAATAACCAAGTAAATTAAGGAAATAAAAGAAAATGAAAAAATTTCACCAGTCTAGGTGGTGCAGTGGACTAGGTGTTGTAAAGATTATTTCCTTTTATGAGAGTGTTTTTCCCCTCACATTTTCAAATATATGAATTTGTTCATTTTTCAGATCCAGCTATAAGTCAGATGGTGCATCCTCATCACAAGCTCGTAGGATACGAAGAAGAAGCATCAGCATTACACCAGAGATTGGTGATGATATCGCAAGGTTGGTTGTTGGTCTATTATGCTTTTGGATTTTTATATGCTTAAGTGTACCGTCCTTGGTGCGGATCGATGTTAAATTGCTTATTGCATGTTTTGTGTTGATTGCTTTATTCTCAAAAAACTTTTCAGCCAAAATATCTCTTGAACATTTGATAGTAAGTTTTTTCAGAGACAAGCTTATCCAAACACATTTATCCATGTCTTCAATACCTATATCTTTGATGATTCATTTTGTTTTCTCCTTTGAATTGTTTGACTGAATTGTCTGTTTTCCATTTTTTAATTCTCTTTTGTTTCTCAATTCGAATGACTTGTCCTTCTGGACGTATGCATGCTCATTCCTGGACATGTTAAAGATCATATTTTCCCTGGATCATTTTTTTTCTTAACCACGTGTATTTGTTGTGTATCTAGTTATTGTTTTTTTTACAAAAATTTCTTTCATGTTATTTTGTGCATTTGGTTATTCAAGATTAGATCTGTTCACCTTTTTTTTTTTTAACAACTCTGTTAGGGTTGCTAAATATTTTGTTAATAATATGAAACACAGTTACTCTTTTTCATTAGCAGAAAACTAATGATGATACCTTAGCCACCAAGCTCGTCAAGTAGAGTACTTGTATTTATTTGTTTTTAATCTCATAAATGACTAGACATGTTAGTACTTGGAATTTGCATTTAGAAAGTAGCGGTTGACTTGGTCCTCTTGGAGAAAACTTCTTTTGTCATTTGAAGTTGGATTTAACTTAGTTGTAGTCTTTTAGGTCTTCTTTGGTATTTCCACAATCCAGAGTTGTGAATACAATTGTTGTATGCTCTCGTTATTTAAGCTTATACTGATAGAGCTAATGTGATGTGGAGTCTGTTCTCTCTCTCACTGGAGAATTGTACATTTACCTTTAAGTGTAATGCATGAAGTATATGTTGTAGATTTTTACCACCTCATCTTTTATCGGAATAGGCGGTTTTTTCCTCTTGAAGGACATGTGCCGGGGGTGTAGAGCTTTGTTATGGGTATCCATTGGATTTTTAAAGCTTTTCTTTTATCTGATATGAAAGGGGATTCGCTATTTTTTCTTTTTCTCTCTGTTTTAGGAGGATTCCTTATGTCCATGTTATGTACTCTTTTCCTTTCGTCATAAATACTTCTTTTGTCCAAAATATAAAAACTTCAGGTTTGGATTGTCTGATCAATTAACCCTTGGTTGTATTATAACTCAACTTACTAATTTGATATATTTTTAGAGGCTTGACTGTTGTAAATGGTACCTGCTTTGTGCTAAATAACTAATACAAAAAAAGCATGATTATAATTGTACTTTAATCAAGTGAATTGATGATCCTTTATTTTCAATTTTCATAGTGCATAATCCCCTGTTATTTTAATTAAATGTGTAATGTATTGTAAGAGTCCTTTTGCTGATTTAAAAGTTGTTTTAATACTGTGATAACCCAGGATCTAATCAATGTAGGGCTGTACGGGCAATGAATGAAACACTAAAGCAAAACCGTCTTATGAGAGAACAAGGGGATGATAGTTCGTTGTCCCATTCTGCAAATGATAGTACTAGCAGTGCAGATCTTCAGAAAAATGTATGTCTGTATTGTTTTGGTAACAATGGAATATGTTATTGTTTAAACCTTCTTCCTCTCTGCCTGTGGCATCTTTCAGCCTCTCCCATTCATCACGACTGTGGTTTGGTTGCATCATAGAATCTAGAAGAGAGCAATTTGCAGTCATAATTCACGAGTCTAATCTTTTTCTTATCAAAAGAAAGATTACAAATTTACAACTATATACTTTTTTATGATTATAATATAATTTATTTTACAATAATTGGGAATACAGTCCTAATTCCATTTAATGATTGTGGAATACATGTGTTACTCTTTGAGATGTAATATAAAATCATTCATGTGTCTTTACCTAATAGTTAAGGTTTTTGAGTAATTGGTTCATGACATGGTATCAAGTAGTCTAAAGTTCAATCCTTGTTGTTTCATTCTTTTAATTAAAAGTTGAATTCAGCACAAGGTAGCTGGGCTTGTGAATTGTCCACTCTTCAAGTTCAAAGAACACATTCGTGAGGGGGCGTGTTAGAGATGTAGTATAAAACCATTCATTTGTTTTCATCCAACAATTTAAGCTTTTGGGGTAATTGGTTCATGAGAGTGACTTTACACACACAAATATTGGATTAGCTTCTGCTTAAATTTTAAAACATGAAATTTGTCATTGCCCTTTCCTTTCCATTTTTAATATTATTATTATTATTATTTTTTTTTTGGGGGGGGGGGGGGATTATTTGTTTATTTCAGTTTAAATATTTTCCTAGTTCTACACGTGATTCCCATTCTGCGATATCACAGGTGTCAAATTTCCATCTTGATTATCGCGAAAGTTCCCCCTTATATTCTCTTCACCGAGACCGTGTAACTTCGCAGAAGGCAATGTCGCTACCCACTTCACCACATGATCATAGAGGAGAAGCTTCTGAGAGAAGCACGCCATCAGGATATGGAATGAATGACCAACTGGAGTCGACTTGGAATAAAGTCCTTGGATCACCAATGTTCAATAATAAACCTCTGTTACCATATGAAGAATGGAATATTGACTTCTCAGAATTGACTGTTGGAACTCGTGTTGGGATTGGTAAGTTTCATCTTTCTCCTCTCATAGTTATCAAAATTGATTGAATCGCTAAAATGATTGTGAATCACTCTTTCCGGCTGAATCACTTGAGTCCATCTATTTCTTGAGGTTGGATTTGTACATATTTGTGCTTGATTGTGAGTGATCTAGACAGATCTAGATCGGATCTGTCCCGACCAACTCGAAACTTTCCTGGTTTTACCATTGTCTGATTTAAATTGAAGAAACTGATCTCTGAGGGCCTTGAAAAACCTTTTGGAACTAAATTCTACTTGAAAAAATCGGATGATTCATTTTCTTCCTCTCCTGTATGGTTTCAACAATTTCATGGCTTGGGGTTGTCTATGAGTGTAGATCTCTTTTAAGGGAAGAATAAGGAAAAAGAAAAGGAAGCACTACATTTAAGTTTCAGCTAGGAAATATAGTATTGGGAAGGTGGAAAGAAATTAAATAATTAACAAATTGGTAAAGAAATCATACTAAAGAGGACCGACCTAGAGTAGTGGTAAAGCTGCTTCTTTGTAATAAAATCATGGGGTTCAAATCAAGGAAATTTTTTTGCAAAAATAGTAGGGTAAGATTGCATACAAGGATTTTATACACTCCTACCCTCGTATGTTGGGGTTTCATGGGGAGGATAGTAAAGAAATCTAACTAAGAACTAGTTATTGTGGAACCCAAAAACTAATCAAACATAACAAGGAAAAAAAATTCAACTTCTGTAATTTATAAAGAAATCAGAACTGAGTCTCAGTATTTGGGGGAAAAAGATAAAATTAGAAAATTAGATATCATCATATTATTATTGAACTTGTTTTAAGCTTAATTTATTAGTTGATTTTTAATTTGCTACTAACTGTAAGCCTCGAACAATATGATACCATTGACGATTCAGAAACTATTCCTTTCAAGCCATGATTTGAACTGCCCTGAAAACAACTAGCTTCGTATAATTTATGGTGCATGGTTGCTCTATTCTTTTCCAGGGTTCTTTGGAGAAGTCTTCCGTGGCTTATGGAATGGTACAGATGTTGCAGTCAAGGTTTTCCTTGAGCAGGATTTAACTGCTGAAAACATGGAAGATTTCTGCAATGAGATATCCATTCTCAGGTATTTGTGTTGATTTGCTGTTTGTCAGTAATTTTCTGTTACATCCAACATTTGCTGACTCCCAGTCTCTTTTCTTTTTGTATGTCTTTTTGTTTTCCTCCAGCCGGCTCCGACATCCTAATGGTACTCTCTAGCATCCTAACTAGTTTATGTCGTTATGGCTTTTCACATTTTGATCTTGGGCATTTTGTTTTCTAGATATGGAAATTTATGCAAAACATCCTAAATTGTTTATTATTTAGTATGACAACTGGAATAATTGTTCTACCAAATTCTTTCTTGGTCAAAATTGTAAGAATGATATTGTTTATATATGGTTGTAAGAGTATCTCATGTATTATGAAATCTGAACTTACACAAAGCTACACTCTTATCAATATATAGAGTGTGAGGATGCTGACTCAGCAGATGAGTCAGATCTAACAAACAAAATAGAAAGCTAACAAAGCTATAACAGAAAGGAGGAAAAGATCTGATACATGCATGTGTACAATAAATCAATAAACTGCTACTACATCAACAGTAAGTAAACAACTACTTATCATCTAATACATCCTGGCAAACTCACGGGTCTTGAGGCACTGAATCAAGAACCCTGAGTTTGTTTCTTAACTCAGCAAAACGACCAGGGGAAAGAGCCTTAGTTAGAGTATCTGCCAACTGATCCGAAGCAGGAATATGAGAAACAATAAGCTCATGAGCTCTTTCCTGAACAAAGAATATGTCTAACTCCATATGCTTGGTACAAGCATGCAAAACAGGATTGTGAGAAAGGGCCACAGTGCTCAAGTTATCACAAAATACTCGTGGAGTAACAAAGGAAACTTGTAACTCGCGAAGGAGTGATTAAACGCACAAAATTTCAGCACAAGTGAGTGCTAAACTTCAATACTCAGCCTCAGCTGTTGATCTTGCTACCAAGGTCTGTTTCTTGGACCACCAAGAAACGAGATTAGGACCTAAGAAGAGAGCTGCTCTGGATGTAGAACTCCTATCATTAGGGTCACTGGCCCAATCTGCATCACATAATGCAGTAACAGAGAGGGGATGCTGAGGGACAACCCTTTGAAGCACAAGCCGGAACGTAACAATCCCTTTTAAGTATTTGAGAATTCTTTTTACTATTTTCCAGTGATCATCTAGAGGCTGCCCATGAATTGGCAGACCTTGTTTATTGCATAGTTGATCTCTGGACGAGTTATGGTGACATATTGGAGAGCACCCACAGGCCACAACTGACCTGTAGAGATGAGGATCTGAGAAATAATTGGAGCCAAACCTTGAAAGTTTACAGCTAGAAGGCATGGGAGAGGAGATGCCTTTTGCATCAAACATGTCAGCTCGAGTAAGCAAATCACGGATATATTTGCATTGGGACAGAAGTAAACCACCACCAGAGAAATGAGTCTCACCCCAACCCCAAGAAAGTGATCTAGGTTGCCAAGGTCTTTGAGAGCAAACTGAGAATGAAGTTGACTAATCGGGTATTGAATGTAGGTAGCATCAGTGCCAGTGACTATTATGTCATCTTGTTGAGATATATAAAACCATTAATACAGCCTCACCCAACAGCTTAAGCTTTTGGGTTGAATTGGTTCTTTACATGGTATCAGAGTCTCGGTGTACTGGGTTCGATCCTCACCGCCCCCTTTCTTTCTAGTGGAATTTCTTTCTTCACATAGGTAGGTGGGCCTGTGCATTGTCCACCCTTCAAACCCAGTGGGCTCTCGTGTGAGGGGGCGTGTTGAGATATATAAAACCATTAATATAGCCTCACCCAACAACTTAAGCTTTTTGGTTGAATTGGCTCTTTACACATCTACATACACAAGGATATAGGTGCAGCGAGAGGAAGTCTTTGAGATGAATAAAGAGGGGTCACAACAGCTGGACTTGAAGCCAAACATCACCAAGGAACCCTTCAATTTATCAAACCATGCTCTAGGGGCCTATTTAAGCCATATAAAGCTTTGTTGAGCTTGCACACTAGTTTCTTATCAGAACTCTCAAATCCAGGGGGCTGATTCATGTAAATATCCTCTTGCAAATCACCATTGAGGAAAGCATTGTTGATGTCCAGCTGTCTAAGAGACCAAGAATGAGTAAGAGCAAGAGTAAATATGATTCGAATAGTAACGGGTCTGACCACTGGTGAGAATGTTTCATTATAGTCAAAACCTTCTTGTTGATGAAATCCCTTAGCCACTAGCCGTTCCTTATACTTGTTCACTGTTTCATCAGGATTTTCCTTAACTTAAAAACCCATTTGCAGCCAATTGACTTCCTGGTAGAGGGCAAAGAGACATGGGAAGAACATTGTATTCGACTTTCATTGCCTCAAGCCAAGGTGGGCTGGCTAAGGCTTGCTTCATTGTGGAAGGTTCTATATGAGCCAGTAAAGTAGTGGATCTGGTCAGAGACTTGGATCTGGTCATAATAGAATGAGTAGGTGAGGATTCCCTTAAAGAATTAGGGGGGACATACTCAGAACCCGAGGAGGATGAATAAGCTGAAGATGACTCAGAATTAGGGGATAAAGAAGTTGAGTTAGACGCGAAAAAAGAAGAAGATGAAGCATTGAACGACTGCAATGGAGTTACAGAGTCAGAATATTGCTCTGGAGATGCAGGAACTGTGTTAGGAGAGGAAGGAATGGAGGAACCAGACGTAGATGGTGACTGTGAAGGCTGTTAAGGAGGAGAAACAATTGGAGAAATTGACTCAGAAACTGAGGGAGAAGGATGAGACACCAAAGGAATCTGGGCAGAAACGGGAATGACATGTGGAAGATCAGCCTTAGTGTTTGTCCAAAAGGCATAAGGGAACCTATATTCATTGAAGAGGACATCTTTTGAGATGTAGATTCTGCCTTCTTTATTTAAACAGACATACCCTTTATGACTTATGGAATAACCCAGGAATGCACATTCTTGCGAATGAAACTCAAGTTTATGATGATTATAAGGTCTGAGAAATGGAAAACACACATCCAAACACCTTAAGGAAATGATAATCTGGGCTTTGATTATACAACTTGGTATAAGGGACACCAGAACTCCATGAGGCTGTTGGGACCCTATTAATGAGAAACACAGCTGAAAGGAAGGAATAATCCCAGAAAGTTAATGGTAAGGAGGCATGAAACAACAAGGTTAATCCCAACTCAACAATATGACGATGTTTGCGCTCTACAACCCCATTTTGATGGTGGGTGTGTGGGCATGCAAGTCTATGAATGATGCCATGATGTTTGAGATAATCAGTGAATGGTCTAAATTCCCCACCCCAATCGGTTTGTAAAACTTTAATAGGAAGTTGGAATTGAGTTGTTATCAAAGAGTGAAACTATTTGAAGGTTGAAAGAGCATCAGATTTTTGTTTTAACAGATATATCCAAGTGTATCTTGTGTTAGCATCTACAAAGGAAATATAGGAAGTGTACCCCACGGTAGATTGAAAAGGAGCTGGTCCCCATAGGTCACTGTAGGTGAGAGCAAATGGTGTATTATATTTAGTCAGTGATGTAGATGAAGGGAGTCTATGTGCTTTTCCAATACAGCATGAAGAGCAAAAATCACTTGCATTTTTATTAGAGATTGGAATATTACAAGAGTTAAGCACCTTTGTCAAGGTTACATGATTGGGGTGTCCCAAACGACAATGCCATAGGAAGTATGTAGAATTAGAAGACATACAAGTTTGATTAACGCTACAAGGCTGATCAACAACTTTATTATCACTTTCAACAAGATTACAATGAGGAAAGCTATCAGTGTGAGCAGGTTGAGGACTTGAACTGGTGGAAGACCGTAAAGAATGAGCTGGATTTGAAGCAAGGCAGATATCTGAAAAATGATAAAGGCCATCATTGCCAAGTATTCCTCGAAGAAGAATATCCCTGCGATTTTACAAAGCAAACACTTGGATGAAACTCAAAATAGACAGTTATCTTTAGCGAATTGACTAACACTCATAAGATTCTTCATTGCAGAAGGAACAAGCAACAAGTTTTTAAGATGCAAGCATCTGTTAGAATCATAAGATGACGTAAATTTTGAGGAACCAATAGCTTGAATAGCCAAATCTTGCGCGTTACCAATGATGGTCTGATCAGAACCACTCAGTTGCTTGCTCTGCAGTAAATGCATAGGACTAGAAGTTACATAATGTGAAACACCGGAGTCTGGGAACCACTCAATGGCTGGGGTAGAGGTTGGAGTTGGAAGTAAGCTAGGTTGTGCAGCAATCATAGCTTGAGGAAAAGCTTGAACAGGCCTAACATACTAAGATCGTTGTTGAGTCTGTGTAGGCTGTCTCTAAGCAAAGTATGGACCATTCGATTGTGTTTCTAGAGGAGGAAGAGTGGGCATGAAGTCTTCATCGAAGCGATGCCAACATCTCTTCACATCGTGGCCATACTTGTGACACAACTGACAATACACGTTTTGTCTACTTCCACGCCCTCGACCTCTGCTAGCTCTGCCATTATAACGTCCTCGTCCTCTATTTGAAACATTAGAACGAAAAGAATCATCAATTCCCGTCTGCACAGAGGTCTGACTAGTGCTCTATTCTTGAATCGCGAAAACAGGGGCAAACAGAGGAGCAGATCCTGAAGTATTACTCTGTTTTTGAGCTACATTCACAGTGGCTGATTCGAGAAGAGACTTACTCTGTTTTAACAACATCTGTTCGTGCGTCATTAACTCAATGACCAGATCTTCGATCGAATAAGGATTTTCTCTTCCATAAACAGTAGTCACGAACACGTTGTATTCAACTGGAAGTCCTTCCAGTATGTAATCAGTCCTATCTTCGTTCGTAACTGGATTTCCTATGGCTTTGAGAGAATCACATAGGCTTTTGATGCGAGACCAGTAATCTTTCGCAGATCTGGTTCCTTTCTTGATAGATTTGAGTTCTGAGCATAATTGACGAGATCTTGACTTCATGACTCCATGAAAGAGCTTGTGGATTTTATCCCACGCTTCATGAGCATACTTTACTCCAAATATCTCATTCGCAACAGATTCAGAGATAGTAGACAAGAGCCAAGACAAAAGCATCAAGTCTTGTGTGAGCCATTGAACATACGCTGGATTTTGAATCATATTCAATCGATCTTCTTCCGATTCATATTGGATTGGAATTTTTTGATTCACGAGGTGGCGATGAAGTTGATGTGACGTTATAATCGGCTCAATTATCTGATTCCAGAATAGATAATTGTTTTCTGTAAGCTTAACTGTAACTTGATGACTGAAAAGGAGAGGAGCATGATTCTCCATTAGCGTTGCTTCTTTGTTCGACTTCGAAGACGCTGGAGCACTGTTATCAGCTGTAGCGCTGTTCTCAGAGTTGGAGGCTAAAGACATAATGAAGGACGAAGATGGATCAGGCCCTCAGAATGAGGGCTCTGATACCATATTCGAGTTCTTGAGAGAAGCCATAGATGCGAGAAAGGAGAGAGAGAGAAGATGTCTTGAATCAGAAGTTGTATTATGAAATCTGAACTTACACAAAGCTACACTCTATCAATATATAGAATGTGAGGATGCTGACTCAGCTGATGAGTCAGATCTAACAAACAAAACAGAAAGCTAACTAAGCTATAACAGAAAGGAGGAAAAGATCTGATACATGCACGTGTACAATAAATCAATAGACTGCTACTACATCTACAGGAAGTAAACAACTACTTATCTAATATCATGTAAGCATGGTTCCTTTGAGATCAGCTGTTATTTATCAAGTGATTAATTTTATGCAGTGATCTTATTTCTTGGTGCATGCACAAAGCCTCCACGTTTGTCAATGATTACTGAATATATGGAGATGGGATCTTTGTTTTACTTGATTCATGTGAGCGGTCAAAAGAAGAAGCTTAGCTGGCGGAGGAGATTAAGGATGTTGCGTGACATATGCAGGTAGATATTCTTGTTATTTATACCTTTCAGATTCTCTTCATTACGCACATCCATTAGTTCTCCATTGTTTTCGAATATAAGGCATATATATTTCATTGTCCATTCACTTTCATATGAGAAATCTGAGTTGTTTATCTTTTTTTCATAATTCTTTTAATATATATTCAATGTTGGAGACAGCAGTAAAAAATTTTCTGCTCATTCTACCAAGTGGAATACGGAGTCGGATCATACCATATTCAATATAAGGCAAATAAAAAATTTGAATTTTGTTTTTCTCTGATGAAAGATAAATGGAATCTACAACTCATCCAAAGTTTTGAACTTAATTTATTTATTTCCACAAGAAATTATTATCAAGTGCCAGGTGACCTTGCTTTTCAGTCAAACGTATTTGTTAGTGAAATTGTTTGTTCTGTAAAAGCCTACTTTCAAGTTCGTGGGTTATCTTATTTTAATAGTTGATATTGATAAATATTGCTTTTGATCTATTGACATTGACGAGAATACCTTGGTGGGGTGTAGGGGCTTGATGCACATGCATCGTATGAAGATTATTCACCGTGACGTGAAAAGTGCAAATTGTCTAGTGGATAAGCATTGGACAGTGAAAATCTGTGATTTTGGACTTTCGAGAATAATAACAGATTCTCCCATGAAAGATTCTTCCTCAGCTGGAACCCCAGAATGGATGGCACCTGAACTTATTCGAAATGAACCATTCAATGAAAAGTGTGATATCTTTAGCCTGGGAGTTATAATGTGGGAGCTCTGCACCTTGAATAGGCCATGGGAAGGCGTACCTCCAGAGAGGGTATGTTTGATAGACGATTTGTTCATTTTCCATGATGATTTCTTTTCCCGTTATGGTTCTTTATTTAAAATTTTCTTCGTTGAGTCCTGAAATTGTAATAATTTGTGATTTTTCTCTGCTGATTAGGTGGTTTATGCTGTCGCTAATGAGGGATCCAGATTGGATATTCCTGAAGGCCCGCTGGGCAGGCTGATTTCAGGTCTGTGCATCTGCCAAAATATTCATGACTCAAGGCCTTTTAATTATTATTATTATTATTATTATTATATTGATGGCATAATTCAGATCCCATCTAGTTTAACTGGTTACTTGGTTTCGTTTGTAGAGTGTTGGGCAGAACCACATGAGCGGCCAAGTTGTGAGGAGATCCTGTCTCGCTTGGTGGACATCGAGTACTCAATGAGCTGAGCTGATGCAATGTTCATCTTTGTACATAGTGAACTTTGAGTATAGTTATTTCACTGTGTTCTCGGCTGATGTAAACTGAATGAATTTTGTTCTTTTTTCTCAAAACATGTTGAAACGTGCTTCCGTGCATTCCCCGTCTTACAATAGTCTTTTGTGGGGCAATGAAAGTTGATTTCTATCAATCCCTTGCATTCCCCTTGTGCAACTAAAAAGAAAAAAAAAAATCTATCCTAGTCGAGTGTAGAATAATTTTTCTTGCCTCAAAAAGGTATAATGAGGGAAGGAGCAGAGACAAAACATGGATGATGTTAATAACTGGCATAGTAACAAAGACTATAACCTTGAAAACGATCTCTTTTTTCCGTTCTGCATACAAGCATTTCTCGGCTTAAGTTAATAGACTCATATATTTTGTTCCTTTTATGAGAACAGATTGAAATGAGCTTCGGTGCATTCATCGTCTTACACTCGTCTCTTTTGTCGGGCTATGAATAAAATATGATTTCTATCCATTTCTTCGGAAAGAACAAATCTATTTCTAGTCCGAAAATAGAATGATTTATTCCTGACTTTAAATTTGGACACAAGTCTTGCATTGTTACAGATACAGTATACAAAAAAGAGGGAAGGAGACAGAAATAAGACATCAACGATGTTAACAATTAGCAGTAACAACCAGTATAACGTTAAAAGCGATCTCTTTTTATCCTTCTTCATATTTCCCTTCATACAAGCAATTCAATGATCAGGGCTAGAGCAACATCACAGGTCAATCACATATTTGACGTCTATTCAATGCATCTTCAAAGCGGCTGCATGAACCCACCCTCATCTCTGTGCTCATGTCATTCCCTGGTGCTGGATAATAGTCCTCCCTCAGCTGCACATCCCTTAGGTTTGGTATCTTAAGGAAAAAATTCATGAAATGTTCATGAGTCGTCCCATGAATGAAAAGCTTCCTCAGAGTATCACATTCTTGTAGCAATCCAGCAGCTGGAAGTGACAAACTCCTCTGGTTCACATCCTCATCTTGTGGTGGCCAATAATGAAGTTCATTTAGACTCAAAGTGCCAATCCCATTCAGAAAGAACCTTTCCCACAGGCTCAAATCCATCTGCCCTGAAGGAGCAGTGAGTACATAACCTCTTGTATCACCACAATCTAGCTGCATCTTCGATAGCTGAGGATAACAAGCCAGAATGCTCAGACCAAATTCGCTCTCGACTGGTTTTGGCTGCCCTCTGCAATCTCCTTCCACTTTTATACGCATCTCTTCCAAATTGGGGCAATCCTCCAACCCTGCCACTGGCAACGGAGTTAGAAGATCACCAACTCCTATCCAAAGAGAGAGATACTGCAGCCTGTCCCAGCTCTTGCCATAGTAACCACTGCCATTGCTTTCATCAACCTCCAAATCATACTTGCATCTCTGCCTCTTCCTTTTGCTTGGGTTTTCACATTCCGCAACCCCCAAGTAATCCATGAATTCAGCAGAATCAGCACCATTCAGGTCAGAAGAACACGGTTCATCCAAACCATTCAGGTCAAAATTGAGAAAACCATGTCCAAGGCTGTCACTTTCCCTCAAACCATTCCACACACAATCCACATGAAGCCGCTCAATCCGGTCCCGAATAGGCTCCAAAGCTCTAAGAGAAGCCACGGTGTCGAGGTTGACGCAGCAAGAAACCTTGACATCAATCAGAGTCCTACGAAGCAAACAAACCATGGTCCTCAACCCTTTCTCCGTGACATGCTTGCAACCCTTAAGCTCGAACCTAACCAACCTAGAACACCCTCTACCAATCTCAATCAACCCCATGTCATCAAGGTCCTCACAGTTGTTAACGGACAAGGAACGTAGCCCTTGGCAAAGGGCAATTCCATCAAGCCTTGACCCAAGGGCCAAGCAAATCCCATGAAACTGACCCAACTTGAGAACCCTCAATTTGGGGCACTTAGAACTCAACACCTCCAAAGCAAAACTACTCTCTCTGACATTTTTACAAACATCTAGCACCAGCTCTTCCAAAAGTGGGAGTCCAGAGAACAACGCCACCAGAGTTGCACGGCTAACCCTAGCGTCTTCTCCAGCGAACCCATCGTTGTCTCTCCGGTTCGCAAACGACGACGTATCGGCCAGGTGAAGGAGCGTGAGCTTGGGGCAATTGGAAGCGATAGCCAACAGCGTATCATCACCGACGAACCCTAAGTATCTCGGATCGAAGATGCAAGCAACGAGCAGGTGCTCCAGGTTAGGGCACGATGAAGTGATGGATTCGATTTCGTTTGACTTGAAACCCTCCGTGAACGACCTCGTTAGCAGGTTGAGGCGGCGGAGGGAGGCGGCGGCGGCGGGGTTCGCAGACAGAACCGGCGGGAGGTCCTCTGGCCAGTGGTAGAAGGCGGAGAGGTCCAGCGAGGATAGATTCCGGCAGTGAGAGAAAAGAGCCGCAAAATCGGATCCCGGCTGCAACGTCGGCGGGCGCTGGTGCCACCGGACGAGCCGGACGTGACGGAGCTCCGGCCAGGGGGAGAGTAGGAGGAGCTGGAGCGTGGTAGGGTCACGCGCGTACACGGAAAGTGAGGTCACGCGCGGGAAGGCATCTCGGAGACGGAGAGCAAGGAGGCGGGGATCGGCGGTGGCGGATGAGGAGCAGAAGAGCGCGTGTCCCCACGGCGAGATGAAGGAGAGGTCGAGATGTGTGACATGGAGGAAGGATGTTGGGATGCGGTGGAGGTCTCGCGCGTTCCCCCGGAGCGTGAGAGAGGTGCGCGTCCTGCGCTCAAGGCGGAGGAAGCTCCCGCAGACAAGGGAGAGTGAATTCCGTGTCCGGGTGTCGGAGACGGCAGCGAACACCTTGCAGAGGATCTCCTCCGGCAGGTGGCTGACGGTGGTGGCATCGATGTTTCCACTCATCACCGATGAACTTTCTTTTCAGGCAGCTTTCCCTAACCGGTAAGGTAAGGTAATCCCAACTTGTTTTCACTGTCTTTTTTGGTATTAAAGAAAAAGAAAAAAAAAGACCTTTTAAGCTTTGTTATTGGGGTATATCACTGAAAGTTTATCAGTGAAGCAATTCTAGAGAGAGAGAGAGAGACATAGTGCTAAATGAATTGTATAGAGAAATATGGTAAGGGGGGATCTTATTAATGGGTACTGGTGGCCTTTATTAAAACCCAACTGAATATGATGTATCTGCCTGTACTGGCAAATTTAGAGAGAGAAAATGAAAATCAGGGAGAGTTTGGGAATAATGGTTCTTACAAAAGATGTCTCAACATCATTGGATTGAAAGGATAAAAAATGCAACAAGGAGGGTCAATTTTTAGAGGTATATTATTGGATTGAATTTTCTTTATTTTTGATTTTTCTTTTCTTCTTTAAAATATTATGTGCTTTTTTTCTTCTTCTTTTTTTGCCTTTCTGTTTTGCAAGGGCTAATGCTTACTATATTTGTTTGGTCTTTTTCGACAGTGATGGAAAACACATACACACATCCCAGTACAACACATCGCATTATGATCACCTTTGGAATTGGATACTGATAATTTAAAATCAACATATTCAATAATTGGTCACTGGCAACCCGCTCTTTTGTAGAGTGATGACTGGCGGTGCAGTCTGCACAGAGCAGAAAGAATCATTACAAGCACGTGTGATGGGTTCAATAGTCACCATGTACACTGTCCGGCATTTTCTCGGATATTTCAGAGAGAAATATTATGTTATTTTATTGAATAAATGAATAAGTTATGTACTTTTTCATCTAAAAGTTAAGTTGTTATTATATTAATTTTTTTAGAGGGGGATATTGTGACTACGAAAAGTGTCCACTACCATCTTACTATCTATCAAATCACCATTGAAACAAAGAGAGAGAATGTTAAAAAGTTTTTGAAGAGAGAGAAAATGTTAATCCAATGATGATTAGATAGATAGTAAGGTGGTAGTGGAAACTTTTAGTAGTCAATATATCCTCCCTCATTTTTTTAAATATTATAAAAAATAGTGTGACACTATTTTAATATTTCAAAAAATTATAAATTAATTAATGGAGAAGGTTATACTTACAACCTATTTTCTTTACAACCTCTTACAACCATATATCTTAACCGTTGATTTCCGTCAATCAACGGTTAAGATTTTCGTAAGTTAAATTTATTAATTAATTATTAAATCACAATAAATTATAACCGTTGATTGGCGGAAATCAACGGTTAAGATATGAGGTAGTAAAGAGAATAAATTGTAAATATAACCTTCCCCTTAATTAATTCCTTAAAATTATCAAATATCACCATGTTAACCTTTAGAAAGACTAAAATAATTATATAAGGGTTTGATAATTATTTTATGTTTTTTTATAAATTAACGTGATAATAAAAATATTTTAATAACTAATATGGTAATATTTGATTTTTAAAGAATTAATTTTGTAATAAGAATATGGCTAACATATAATTTATCCTCTTGAACTTTATTCATATTTTAAATTATCACGTTATACATTGTTTCAATTAACTCTTTGCATTTTGTGATGGTAACAAATTAACAAATCTATTAAAAATTTAACTAACGTTATTTACCTTCCAAAATCCTAATTTTATTTTTCTTTTTTGCAAATTTACATTCCACACTCTTTTGCAGATTTTTTTCTCTATCATACTTTTCTCCTTCTCCATCCCAAATTTGCTCCACACAAAATACATATTAATACCATATTAATATCTCATTAGTCACGAAGAAGAAAATATGATATACTACCTATGGTGTTTTTATGAGAATGAAGAGGAAATTGAAGAGTTATTTTGTTGGCATACATAATATTTCTTTAGAATCTGAATATCTTGAAATTACTTACAACTTTTTTTTTCTTGGGATTTCTCAAGGATGAAGTTGCCCATATCCTTGTTATCTTTTGTCTACGAGATATGGCCTGGCTGGCTTTGGATTTTTCATAATGCTTTGAAAATAAATTGCCTCCAACACTATGTGCTATAGGACATTAAACTTCAAGAAAAATACCATGAAGAAAAAAACTATAAAACATGAGCTTTATGCTGAAATCTAATTTCAACAAAATATGAGAGGATTTCCTCCTTTTTTCCCCAAAAAAATAAGGGGGCTCAAACTGCATAAATTAATATAATAACCTTAATAATTAAATAGTATTAATTGGAGAATTAATGTATAATTAGAGAGTTAATTAGCAAGAAAAGTCTAATTATTAACTAAATCATTTTTCAGAATAAGAGCATAAATAATAAAGGTGAAGGATTAAAATGCAAATTGTGCAAAGTGGGTGAGACCCAAAATGAATTAAGTGTGTGAAAAGAAACAAAATATTGGATTTTTAAAACATAATTGTGACAATTTTCAACAAAGCAAGAGAAACAACACTCTTGAAGCAGGAGATGCACAAAATGTTATTAATAATTTCAAAAGTTCACAAGCAAATGATTCATCTTTCTTCTATGCAATACAAGTAGATTGTGAAAATCACATGACTAATTTTTTTCTAGAAAGATGGCATATCAAGGTCAGATTATAATCACTTTGGAGATGTAGTCATTTTTTACACAACCTTATTAACAAACAAGAATAATATAGCTTGTGCACCATTCATTGGGGTAAATCATCATAAACAAAGTGTTTTGTTTGATTATGCTTTCTTGTTAGATAAGACAACAAAATCATGTGTTTGACCATTTAAATCATTTTTGAAAGTAATAGGTGGGCTGCAACCTAAAATAATTTTTATTGATCAGTGTCAAGCAATGATTAATGCTATTAAGAGTTTTTCCTGAATCTCAACATCGACTTTACTTGTGGCATATTAGCCAAAATGATGTTAAGTATCTTTCTTATTATTTGAGACAACCTACCTTTAAGGTTTTGTTTAATAGGAGTCTATATAATTGTGGATTAAAACAAGAGTTTGAAGAACTATGAGCATGTTTACTCACAAAAGTTGATATTTCAAAATGCACATGGCTGAAACTTTTTTATGAGTTACGAAAAAATTGGTGCGCAATATTTAGTAAGAATTATTTTTCAGCTGGCATCTTATCGATACAAAGAAGTGATAGTATGAATAATATTTTTCATAGTTCATAGTGTAACCTGCAAGACAATGTCTTTTACCTAATTTGTGCTTTGTTATGAAAAAGTTTTGGAGCGCAGAAGTTGGTTGAAATTGCAAAAAAGACTTCGAATGCAATCAATATGCACCTACTAGAATAATTTTCTTGTAGGTATAGCTGAACAAGGCGCTCAGGTATATACTCATATTATTTTTGAAGAATTCTATGAAGATTATTTGAATCTTTATTTGTGGTAATTGAAAAAACCAATGAATATGGTACTTTCTTTAGTTATAAGTTGGTTACTAGTGATGACAAACATATTTTATGACATTTGAATTTGCAAATTGTGTAGTTGATTGTACTTGTAAGAAGTTTAAATCAGTTGGTCTCTTATGTCTTCATGCATCGAAAGTGCTTAACTTTCACAATAATTTTAATATATACCTTTTCATCATATTTTGAAGAGGTGGAGAAAATATGGTAAAGGTGATTTTAGTATAAGTGACAATGATAAACAAGCTTATGAAGTTCCAACACAAAGAATTAATTTGCGTATGAGCCACATAGTGAGGAAAGCCATTTATTTTGCAACCAAGGGTGCATTGACAAATGAAGCAACCAAAATGGCTGAAAATCACACAGAGCATGGAATTAAAACATTGGAAAAGTTGCTCAAAAATACTAAGTTGATTGATACATTAACTAGCAAACCATATGAAGTTGATGATATGAATATTGATGAAGAAAGAGATGAGTAAATTAAATTAAATTCTAAAAAGGTGTTTCTACCACACCAAAAATAATCTAAAAGGTGTTAGATCCACAACGTGTTCAGGAGTTACAAATGCTAGATTGAAAAATCTACTTGAGAAGAAAATGTGCAAGAGAAATATATCACAATTTCATAGTAAATCTCAATGTACTATCATACAGATATAGGCAAAAAGAATAATATAATCAAAATCATACTTTTTTTCATTATATATAAAAATATGCTTAATGTTAATATCTTCTTATTCTTTTTTGTGATTTGAGCATAGCTTTAAGTAGAAGAGACAAAGATTTTAGTACTTCTGTTACACCTCGATCCATGGACTTTTTGTTTTCCATATATCTCTCAAGTGGTAAGTGCTGATATACCTTCATCGAGTTTTTGTTTTACACATATCTCTCAAGTTTCATGTACACGGGTATTATTATATTATGTCCAATGTTATAAGGTGTTTAGTGTTTACATTGACAAATGGCTGAGATTACCAGCTATAATATTAGGATCTTCAGTTTACAGAGAAAGACAGGATATGAACTTAACATATTAATTATAAAGATGGACCTTTATGATAAAAAGAAGAGAAATAGGTTTTTAAGAGTATAAACAGGGGGTGTTCATCAACCGATCCAAACCGATTCTGTAATATCCACACACAAAAATAGTAACAATAAATTTAATAATAATAATAATAATATTAATAAAAATAATAATAATAATAGTAGTGTGTACCTTTATGTATAGTGTTATAGGCATTGAATGCTAATAGTGTGTCGTAATTTGACTTTAAAACTGTAACCTTAATTAGTGGATATTTTAGTTGTAACGTTCGGTAGTTGTGGTTGGTTATCATGTAAGTGGTAAATGCCAACATTTATTTATTTAATTTTGTAATCATTGAGATATTATAATTAAAATAATTATGATGACCTTTGATTTTACCTATTGTTTTTATAACTAAAATAAATGTGATGACCATTGGTATTATCTGTAGTTAATGTTCTGTTTCAAAACTACAGTTATAAATAGGAGCTTAACCTAACCAAACCAAATCACTTCTAATCCTCAACATTTCTCCATTTCTCCATTTCTCTTCTCCTCTATTTTCTCTCTTCTTACTTCAAATTATTATTTTCCTTTGGTTATCAACCGCTTTTCTTCTAGAAGGTAGCAAACACGGAGATCAGGTAATCCTAATCCCTAGATAGCTTTATTTAAAATTTATTATATGTAATCCTAATCCCTAGTCAAGGGTTAGCTTTATATGAATTTTTGTTTGATGTAATCTCGATGCTTAGGCACTATATTTATCTTTTATATTAAATTTATGAGATGTGATTCTAATCTTCATGGAATAATCAATTAATTTATTTGAAATTTATATAATCCTAATCCCTAGGTGCTCAGAGATCATATTTAATTTGGTATAAGTAATCCTAATCCATAGGTGCTCTTAGGTTAGTTTTATATGAAATTTGCTGGTGTATCCTATTCTTTTAGAAGTAGTAGATTAATTATATATGAACTTTGTTTGATATAATATTGACCTTTAGGGAGTAATATATTAATTTTATGGGAATTCATATTTGATATAATCCCTATCTTATCTTTAGGTAATCTGTAGGTAGCTTTATTTAAAATTTATTATCTGTAATCGTAATCCCTAGGTGATTGTACGTTTGTTGTGTATGAAATTTTATTTTGTGTGTATCCTAATCCTCTAGAAATAATAGATTAATGTAATCTTGACTTTTAGGGAATAATATATTAGTTTTATATAAATTTTGATTGACCTAATCCAAATCTTTAGGTAACAATAAATAGCTTTAAAGAAACGCGTTATGATCCTAATCTGTATGGAGTAATAAATTAGTTTTATTAATTTGAATTTTATTACATGTAATATTAGGACTTTTTGACCCTTTTACCCTCTAATAATTAAAAAATATACCAATTTACCCCTGTTTAATCGATTACATCCATTAATCGATTACACTAAAATTATTGACTTAATCGATTACACTAGCTTCAGAATTTTCAAACAACTTTTCTTCACACTCCTTGCATGCCCGCCACATAGCCCTCAAGTTTCACACCTCATCCACTCATCATCCGTCAAGCACTTCCCATTTGACCAAGAAAGTTGATAATTCAAACACTGTCATTTCCTTAGCCACCACAAAGACCAAACCGAAACAAACCACTCAGCCATCAATCCTCCTTTACACAAAACCACTTGGCTGAAGGAATGCTTTGAGAGTGCTCACCATCACCATCGTCATCTTCTCATTGACTCTCAATCAGGCCATATGACCTTCCCACCATTTTTTTTGTTATTTACTTAAGTCATCTCCCCCAAAATCCACATGCAAAACTCCTAGACGGCCTTATACTCCATGTTCGAAGCAAGGAAGTGCAAGGTGCCCTTATCAACTTTCCCTAGTACCATTCAAGTGGTTGAAGATCACATGCAAGAGGTCCTTTAAACCTTCCTTGGCCGAACCAGCACTAACCTCCAAGACCACCAATACCTTCTACTCCAAGCCATATACAATCTTATATTCTAAGACAAAGCCATTCTTTGGCAACTTTTGACACGTGGATGCTTCTTCTTCTGACATGTGTTTGCTTTCACACTCCACAATTCAAAAAGTTTCCTTTTTGGGTAATTCAGGGAATAAAAAAATTCAAAAAGAAATTATAATCTGGACTCAAAATTGATGGCCACGATTTGCTGTCCAAAATCAATGATTTAGATCTGTTCTCATCTTTATTGGGACACAGCTCATAATCCTTTAAAAATTTAATTGTGGAAGGAAAGAGAAAAATTTAAATTTTGAAAACTGACAACTCAGTAAATGTTCACCTGCTTTGTTCATTGAAATTGTTAAACATTTAACAAAACCCTAAACGCCTTCTCATCTTCTTCTTTCTCCTGTTCTTTTGTGTACTATTTTTTCCCAGCTGCTGTTCGTCGTTCGTCGCTCGCCTTCTCATACCGTTTTTGGTTTTGTTGCTGCTTTTCGTCTTCGTTTTTTCCCAACTGTTGTTCGTCGTTTATTTGTTGTGAGTCGTTCGTCGTTCGCCTTCTCATAAAGATTTGGTTTTGTTGCTGCTTTTCGTCTTCATTTTTTCCCAGCTGTTGTTCGTCATTTTTTTGTCGTTCGTCGTTCGTTGTTCGTCGTTTCAACGTTGTCGTCTTGGTTTTTGTTGTTCGCCTTCTCATACCGTTCTTTATTTTGTTCTGCTGTTGTCGTTTTTTTTAAGTAGGTGACTACCAGTTACAACACACAGCTTCAAAGGATGTATAAATATGATTTTCTGAAGGATGTCAGTCCTGTCAAGGAGGACTGGAGGATTAAGGTGAAGGTGGTTCGGGCTTGGAAAGTTCCTAACTTTCAACGTAAAGATCAAGACGACAACGTTGAAATGGTTTTGTTGGATGAACAGGTATGTTCTTAGCGTTTTTTAAATCTTGGTTCTTGCGTTTTTAAATCTTCCACTTTTTTGAGTTCGCTGTGTTTTTTTAGGGTGGTAGGATCCACGCCACTGTCAAAGGTTCTTTGCCGGTGCGGAAGAAAATCCATGAAGGAGACTGCTATTTTATCAAAAAATTTGGAGTTGGTTTCAATAGCGAAGTGTTTAGGCCTACCAGGCATCAGTATCGTTTGTCTTTCAATTTGAGGACTGATCTTAGATCAATTGTTGATTCTAATATTTGTGCGAGTGAATTTGATTTTGTTGATTATGACATCATTGAGAAAGAAACATCTGACTCACCTTATTTAGTGGGTAATATAAGTATACTTACTGTCTTTTCATTTTTAAATTTTTTAAATTTTTTAAATTTTTTAAATTTTTTTACGGACTCTTTGCTGCCCTTTCTTTCTTTGTAGACGTCATTGGTTTAATATCAGGAATTGGTGAAGTTTGTGAACGTGTGGTTTCTGGTAGGAAGACCAAAATGATTGTGTTGGAGCTTGACAACCTCAGGTATTGTAAATTTTATTTTTTCAACGTATTCTTTTGTTTTATCTGTGTTCCCTTATATTTTTTTGTTTTATCTGTGAACGTGTATTACTGTACGTTTGGGCTGCAACTCATATTAAGGGGTCACAAGCTGGAGTGCACTTTGTGGGAGCACTATGTGGATGAGATTCAATCTTTTATGGCAACCAGCGACACTCCTCATAACGTCGTGATAGTCCAGCTAGGCAGGATAAAATGTTTTAGGGGTATGATTTTAGCATTCTTTTTTTCCAATACGTTATTCCTCTGTGTTCTGTTTAATTCTATTTTTTTTGGGATTGCTCTTCTACGTTTTTATTTTTATGCTTAACTCGATAGGTAAGGTTGGGTTAACCAATACAAAATATACAACGAGGATTGTCATGGATTCGAAGATCCCAGAGATCGTTGAGTTCAAAAAACGGTTTGTTTGTTATTCTTAAACTCATTTCATAATTTTTTTATGATATTCATTTACTGTATATCCATTTTCTCTCTATAGTCTCACGGCTGATTGTGTTGAGAGTAGTCTGCGGATGACTCAGTTGTCTGCTCAGTCATCCTATTCTTACGAAAATGATTTTCTGAAAGAGACTGAAAAGAAGTCTATCAGTGATGTGAAGCTTTGTGGCGAGGTAAAAATGGAGACCATTTGCTTCATTCATTATATGAAACTTTATTTTGCTCATTTTTTAAATTTCTCAATGTTGTTGCAGATTCTGAAATCAATGACAGAAGTGTGTCAGACATTACCTCTACCAGTGAAGGTCCACAATTGCTAAATTAAATATATTGGAAAAATAAAATCGTGTTGGGCTGTCTTTTTTATTATCTACATTTTTTGTTGTTGCAAATATGCATATAAATAATTCCAATATGCCAAATATGATTTCTATCAACAACGGTCTTTGTATTAATTTTAAACTTTTTTATTATTTACTTGCTTTGTGTTCGATTATTGTACCTTTTTTTCTTTAAATACATAAAAAAAAAAATTGGTATTGAAATGTATTTTTTTTTTGTTCTCAATCCATTTTTTTCTTTGTATAACAGATATAGAAATCAATAATTCCAATGTGCCTACCACGACTTCTAACAATGAAGGTATTTATTTTCATTTCTTTTATATTTTTTTTACATATTATATTATCCGTCAAACTTTCAAACTGGATTTTTTGTAATTTTTTAGAATATTGGGACGCTGGGGATCCTAATTTTGTCTGTGACTATTGTGGAGCAAACATGTGGAATGAAGAGAGAAATAAGAAGGATCGTAAGCCAAGTACTCCACGATTTAGTTTATGCTGTGGCAATGGAAAAGTTAAACTTCCTTTATTGAAAACTGCTCCAGATACTTTGCTTCAATTGCATGTTAATTCAAATGCAAGGAGCCGCCATTTTTTGCGAAATATTAGAGCATACAATATGATTTTTTCCTTCACATCCTTTGGAGCAAAAGTGGATGGATCAGTAAATCAAGGTTCTGGCCCATACTGTTTTAGAGTTGGGGGGCGAGTTCATAATTTAATGGGTAGTCTTCTCCCAGCTGATAGTCAGACTCCAAAATTTGCTCAGCTGTATATATATGATACTGACCATGAAGTGGATAACAGACTGGGTTGTCTAAGGTATATTCCTTTTCTGGCAAAATGTTATTGTTCATTTATGGTGTATATTTTTATGTTTCTTTCATATTAGCGAATTATTGATTTTGTAATTATATTTGCAGTTCCACGAGTACTGAAGATAAGCTCGATCCCGAAATTATCCTATTGTTGAAGCAGATGTTGGACAAGCACAACAGTATAGCTCAGTCTTTCCGGTGCGCTAGAGACCGTTATAAAGAAGATGACTTTAATGGTGTGAAGTTGAGGCTTATTCGAAAGCGTGGTAGTGATGGAAGAGTTTATAATCTTCCGACATCATCTGAAGTTGCCGCTTTGATTGTTGGAGATATAGACAGTGTTATGTGTGATAGGGATATCATTATTGAGACCCAAGATAGAGTACTGCAGCGCATCGATGTGAAGCATCCATTATATCTTGGCTTGCAGTATCCATTGTTATTTTCTTACGGTGAAGACGGTTATCGCGATGATGTCCAGCGTACTTCCGTGTCCAGTGGTAGGACTAATGCAAGAGCTGTTATCAGCATGAAGGAATTCTTTTCTTTTCGACTTCAGATGCGATCAGGAGAGTCAGAAATTCTCGTTCGATCAAAGAAAATTTTCCAACAATTCCTGGTTGATGCGTACACTATGATTGAGTTTGAACGGCTTAATTTCATTCGATATAACCAAAGTCATCTCAGTGCTGAGCTGTACAAAAATATAAAACATTCATTTGACAGAGGTGAAGATGCAGCCGTAAATACTGGAAAGTGTATCATTATACATACTTCGTTCACAGGCGGACCTAGGTATATGGCTGAAAATTGTAAAGATGCTTTTGCAATTTGCCGTTGGGCTGGGTATCCCCATCTTTTTATAACAATTACCTGCAATCCTAAGTGGCCAGAAATCACACGAGTTGTAAAGGCTAGACAGCTTAGCCCTGAAGATAGGCCTGATATTCTATGCAGAGTATTCAAGTTCAAATTAGACGAAATGTTACATGATTTGAGGAAAAAAAATGTTCTTGGCAAAGTTATTGCATGTAAGTATATGCTAAACTTATTTATTTTTTATTCATAATTTAAATCAATTTTTAAAGGGCATTTATCATGACATGCAAGAAATCTATATATAACATTGTTATTTTCTAATAATTATTTCTGTTGTATTTTGGTTAATGTAACAGATGTTTGTACAATCGAATTCCAAAAGCGCGGACTACCTCATGCTCATATTCTGCTATTCTTGCACCCTTCAAACAAGCCTGAAAGTGCTTTTGATATTGATAAATTGATTTCAGCGAAAATTCCTGACAAGGATTCCAATCCTTTGCTGTTTCAAGCTGTCACAAATTACATGATACATGGTCCATGTGGTCCTGAAAATTACAAATCTCCTTGCATGAAGGATGGACGGTGTTCAAAAAAGTTTCCAAAAAACTTATGTTCCCGTACTTCTATAGATGACGATGGATTTCCTCATTACAAGAGAAGAAATGATTCGAGAGTTGTGAACAAAAATGGTGTTGAACTTGATAATCGTTATATTGTGCCATATAATGCACAACTTCTTTTAAAGTATCAGGCTCATATCAATGTTGAATATACTTGCCAGAGAAGTGCTATTAAATATCTTTTTAAATACATTCACAAAGGGAATGATAGAGTAACAGCTGTCGTACATCACGCAGAAGATGAAATCAAAATGTTTTATGACTGCAGGTACTCAAAATTTTCTCTTATCTTATTTTGCTTCTCCCAAAAATCAACATGTTTTTTTTCACGATCTTTCAACTTTGTTGTTTTAATTATTTATTTACTATAGGTATGTCTCCGCATGTGAAGCTGCTTGGAGAATTTTTGGATTTGACATTCATTCCAGGTACCCCCCCTATTCAGAGATTGCCATTTCACCTGCCCAATGAAAAGAACATTATTTTCAGTGATAATGCTTCGATTTCTGATGTCAAGACAAGGGCGGAGTCTAGACTATCAATCTTTGAGTCTTCGATGGATGCAAATAAAAAATATCCAGAAGGAAGGCATCTAACTTATGCAGAGTACTCGACTGAATTTGTTTACAAAGACCAAACTCATGAATGGAATCCTAGAAAAATTGGATTTTCAATTGGGAGAATAAATCATTTTTCTGCCAATAATGGAGAAGATTCCTATCTTCGTACGTTGCTTACTTTTCAAAGAGGGTGTACTAGTTATGAAGATGTTAGAACAATCAATGGCGTGCTTTTTCCTGCATTTAAGGATGCCTGCTATTCTTTAGGACTTCTAGATGATGACAATGAGTATATTGATGCAATTAAAGAGACAAATTCATGGGGTTCTGCTGCTTATCTTAGATCTCTGTTTGCTCTATTGTTATTTGCCAACTCAATGAACAGGCCTGAAAAAGTTTGGGAAGAGTGTTGGAAATTTTTATCCGACGATGTTCTTTATCACCATAGGAAAAGAATAGGGCTTCAAGGTATGTGTTGTGATAATATTTAACGCATTTATATTTTTTAAAAACTTAAATTAGTATATGTTGCATTACTGCTTATTTAGCAAATTTTTTACCATAATTCAGCATATGTTGCTTTATTATTTATTTCGGTTTTTTTCTTTTCTTTATATCTTTCTCTTTGTTATTTTTAACTTTTTTTCCTTTGTATTTTATGGTTTTTTTAGATGCGCTTCTTACCGAAGAAAGTATAAAAAACATAACACTTACATAAATTGATAAGGTGCTGCAGAGCAATGGTAAATGCCTATCTGATTACCCGTCAATGCCTCACATCACCAGGGAATCGTTGTTTGATATGCAGAATAGATTAGTGGTTGATGAATTAATGTATGACACATTTTCATTAGGAGAAAAGCATGAAAAACTATTGAATTCCCTCACTGATGAGCAGAGAGTTGTATATGACAAAATCATTTCGGCAGTTACACCAGGTAAAGGAGGGTTATTCTTTCTATATGGATTTGGTGGTACAGGAAAAACATTTATGTGGAATACTCTTTCAGCATTTGTTAGATCAAAAGCTGAAATAGTACTTAATGTTGCTTCTAGCGGAATTGCTTCCCTTCTGCTTCCTGGAGGACGAACAACACATTCTAGATTTCGTATTCCTATTCAGATCAATGAGGATTCAACGTGTAACATCAAGCCAAATTCTACTATAGCAGAGTTGCTGTCAAAAATGAAGTTAATCATTTGGGATGAAGCACCAATGGTGCATAGATTTTGTTTTGAGGCTCTGGATAGAACACTTAGAGATGTTCTTAGATTTTCTGACACGAGCTGCGTTGATATGCCATTTGGTGGAAAAATTGTAGTTCTAGGCGGTGACTTTCGGCAAATATTACCTGTCATTCCTCACGGCAGCAGACAAGAGATAGTAAATGCAACCATAAATTCCTCTCATCTATGGTTCTATTGTCATTTATTAACTTTGACCAAGAACACGCGTCTTAATTCTGGAAGTACCACTGATGATGTGAAGGAAATAAGAGAATTTTTTGAGTGGCTACTTAAAGTTGGGGATGGTGATCTTGGAGATGATGAAGATGGAGAATCTATGATAACAATTCCAGATGAATTGTTGATTACAGCATCAGATGATCCCGTTTCAGATATGGTTAATTTTGTTTATCCGAATCTCTTGGATAATATTTTAGATCCAACGTTTTTCAAAGAACGTGTTATCTTAACTCCTAAATTGTCCGATGTTGTTATGCTGAACGAGCACCTGATGTCGATGATTCCTGGTGAAGAAAGGATATTTTTGAGTTCTGATAAAATTCTGAAGCAAGGTGTGGCTTCCTCTGTTAAAGATGACGAATTCACACCTGAGATCTTAAACACATTATGTGTTCGGGGATTCCTGATCATAAATTAACCTTGAAGGTTAAAGTTCCAGTAATGCTATTGAGAAATATTGATCAGTCCAGAGGTTTGTGCAGTGGCACAAGGCTGCTCATTACAAAATTGGGGAATCATGTTGTTCAGGTAATTGTTCTTACAGGAAGCAATATAGGTGAAACTGTGTTAATCCCTAGAATGTTGATGAGCCCATCAAGTCACACATTTCCTATAAACTTCCAAAGAAGACAATTCCCTCTGATTGTTTCATTTGTCATGACTATCAATAAGAGCCAAGGACAATCTCTTTCTCATGTTGCAATTTATCTCCCCAAACCTGTCTTCACTCATGGGCAATTATATGTGGCACTGTCTAGAGTAAAGAGCAAGCGTGGATTGAAGATATTGATACTTGATGAAAACGGTTGTGTCACAAATAATACCCTTAATATAGTTTACAAGGAAGTATTTCAAAGATTAATGTCGTGAATTTCCTTCTGCCTACTATGACATAACATCACTGCTTGGTACAGGTAAAGACAAAAAAAATTGGCAATGGAGTGTTTTTTTACTTATTTTCGTTACCGTTTGGTTTTTTTAACTGCTAACTTTTTCTACTCATGCAGGAATCATTTTTCATACACACATGCTATTTTTGAACAAACAATATTCCATCGTCATGAATATATGGAGGTATTGTTATGACAGTTTTTATTTGTACTCATTTGTTTGTGTGCCTTTTTCTTTCATACTTTCATTTGTACATTATTACTCATTCATTCCTTTTATACTGAAGGATAAAAAATGTAGGTTCGGCATCTTGCATGTGTTGCGTTAGTTCTTACGAGACAAACAAATTGATTTTTTTTTTCCTCCGTGCAACGCACGGGTAATTCACTAGTTACTTAAAAGGTAAACCACACCCTATGCATATTGTCATCCTCGGGTATGCTCTTTGGAGTCGTGAAATTGTTGTAAAATATAATGATTTTATATGGCACATGTTGGTAATAGAACTCGTAATATTTGACTAGATGGACTTGAACTACCTCCATTATCTATTGCCATCCTCGTGAATGCCATTATTGTCCATTATCTATTATCTTCCAACCAGAGTCTTCATTGTTTTGCTCTCCAACAATGTGGTTGAGTTGAACTCTTGTCAACAAAGAGATACAAAAGAATGGAGGGAAAGAGGCTCACATGCACCCATTTCATAAAGGTATCCTCGGCCAGATGTGTAACATGTACAATAATGGCATTCAACAATGGGTCTTTCCCAACTACAAAATTTTCTTTTCTCCAGTGGCTAAGGAAATAACTTAGTGTTTGAATTATCAGCTTTCTTGGTCAAATGGGAAGTGCTTGACTGATGGTGAGTGAATGAGGTGTGAAACTTGAGGGGTATGTGGCGGGCATGCAAGGAGTGTGTGAAGGAAAGTTATATGAAAAATCTGAAGTTGGTGTAATCGATTATGTAATCGATTAAGTCAATAATTTTAGTTTAATCAATTAAATAATGGATGTAATCGATTAAACAGGGATAAATTTGTGTATAGTTTTGGGACGAGGACAAAATGGTTATTTTTTAATTATTAAAGGGTAAAAGGGTAAAAAAACCCGTAATCTTAGTCCCTAAAAGTCTGAAGTTAATTTTATATGAATTTTGATAAAGTAATTATGATCCTAAATATATTATACGGTTGTCTTATATGAAATGTATTATATGTAATCCTAATTCCTAGATTAGTTTTAGATGAAAGTAAGTAATCTTGATCCTTAGAGCATCTTAAATTAGTTTTAGATGAAATTTGGTATACGTAATCCTCTAGGTGATCGTAAGATAATTTTATATTAAATTTGTTAAATGTAATCTTAATCCTCGGGGAATTTTAGGATGTTTTCATATATTATATGTAACCCTTAGGATATTTAAATTAAATTATTTTTACCTCTAGAAATTAATTGGATTAATTATTGGACTTTGGCTTTACTCTAATAGATGTGACTATTTGAATTATGATTTGCAAAATTATGATATGATGATTGAATTTGGGCTTTACTCTGGTAGATGTTAAATATAAAAATTATCATATTCTTGGATAATGAATTTGAAAATTATGATGGATTTGGAAATTATGATATTCTTGAAAAATTGAATTTGGAAATTATACTCTTGATTAAATTGACGTGAAAATTATGAAAACTATTTGAGGAAATTTTTCAATTATAAGAATTGTGACAAGATTGAATTTTATTGATTGTGTGTGATTGTAATAAATAATAGTGGGAAGATAACTTTCGGGATGGTACCTCTTGAAAGTGAGGAACATAACCTTTGGGCTTTATGTCTTCGATATTACATGATATGACAATGATGTTTTCCGTTCTTCCCAGAGTGGTATCTGGCAACAGGATTTCCTGGGGTACTAGTAACAACTTTGGGAAAAGGTGTGCATATTAGGATTTGATATCCTGATGATGGCCAATTTTAATTATACGTGCTGGCAACAGAGTTTCTCAGGTCACGGGATAGCTGGCAACAGTGTTTCCCGGGTCTATTATGGTTTTCTCGCCACTAAATACACTAAATGAACTTAAACATGATTAATAATGGAATTTGATACTTGATTTGATTATGATGAATATTTGAGTTGTGATTGTAATCATTTATGTAATATTGTGATTAATGTTGTGTGGAATATATTACTTGATAATTATCCTTATTAAAATATCATTGAGTTGATTATGTTGATTTATTGAGATATAATTACTCTAAATAAAATGTCTTGATTGATTTTGATTTGATTATAATTATTAATTAATTTATGACTATCTTTGTTGTGTTCTGGATTGGGATTACCAGCTCTTGCTGATTGTTTGTCTTTGTGTTTATGCGCTACAATGATCCTTCGGGGGAGCAGATTTTCAGTGAAACATGTTGCAAAGGATGGGGCTAGCAGTGAGCAGTAAGACTAATGACTCAGATATTTGTAGCTAGTCCTAAATTTAATGTATAAAACATAGTCTCTGGTATTATTTTAATATTTATAAATGTAATAAAGTTAGCCTTGCACTTGTCCTTATACAGGTGCAGCGGTAATATTTTCCCAAAATAGTTTAGATTAGCTTCCGCAATATTTATAAGATCCTAAAAAATATAATTTATTGTGAATTTTGGCAATTTCTTAATTATAAGAATATTTGAAAAATTGTTAGAAATTTGGGGGTGTTACAGATTCAAACCGTAGTGACCGAACCGAAAAATCAACTTAACCGAAAATCGAAAAATCAAAAACCGAAAAAAGAACTGCAAAATTTAATTGGATTGGATTGATTTTCGGTTTGGTTGGTGAAAATCGATCCAATAATTCCCCAACTCTACCCTCTACCTACTTGGGCCTTTCCCCAATCATAACCCAAAATTCATATAGCAAAATTCTAAACCCAAGTCCCATTAACCCATCATGTTGAAGAAAGTGAGTTTTTGCTAGCTTGATCTATGTTATGCTTTCTTTTTTGGGTGAGATACATCATATATTTTTATGACATGGGTTATTATCGTACAATAGTTCCTCTGTAGGATAAAAATTTGGCTTACTCCGTATCTCAGACAACCACATTGTAAATATTTTGTTGGAGGTAAAAGATGATAATTCAACTTTTTGTTGTAATATATTGAAAATTATATTATTGATTGCACAATAATTATCATACAAACTTTACAAAGTTAATACATAAAAAGATATATTATTTGCACTATAATCATCATACAAATTTTAGGCTTTTCAAAAAATTGAAAACCGATCAAATCCAAACCGAATAAAATTGGATTGGATTTAAAAAAAATCCAAACCGAATGAATAATTATATAATTAAATTGAAAGAATTGTATCAGATGATTTTTGTTTCAAAAACCGATCCAATCTAGATAAACCTCACGCCAAAAGGTTTTAAAAAGGAACATCCTAAAGAGCGGGTTTTTCTTTTCCACAAAAGAGAACCCTTAGACAAGAGTTACAACAGATTAGAGGTGGCAAAGTGGGCAGCCCGCCCCGCCCCACCCCGCCATCAACCCACCAAAAAATAAGCCAGCCCGCCCCGCCCCGCTTTTAAAAGTTGGCTGAAAAACTTAGCTCGCCCGCCCCGTTTGGCGGGTTGGCCCGCCAGTCCAAGCCTATTTTACATTGACCCGCCTCAGCCCGTCTATACCCGCATCAACCCGCCAAAAAATGAGTCCGCCTCGCCCCGCCTCGCTTTTGAGATGGGTTGAAAAACTCTGTCCGCCCCGCCCCATTTGGAGGGTTGGGCGGGTTGGCCCGCCGAGCCGAACCCGTTTTGTCAGCTCTACAAGAGATACACAATCTAAGGCTACAGGTTTCATATTGACGAGTCTATTAATATTGGATATCAAGCAGCTGGCATTTGGATATATAGCAACAAACTAACGGGAGGAAGACCACAATTGTAATTATTTTGGTAAGGGGTTTCACAGAGCTGGTTTTATTTTATTTAAAAAAAAAACAAGTTAAATAGCGGCTTCCTCTTCCTTTAACATAAATTGAGACCCGATAAGAATTAAAGGATAATTACAATATAAATAAATCACACTAGCAAGAGTCACAATTGTAATTTATCATATATATATTTTTGTTCATGGCAAGAGTCACAGTGGAAATGTTATATTTTATTTATCAAGTATTCTTAATGGCTTAATTAGCATAGGCTATTCCCACACTTAGTCTCGAATTTACTGTATAAGAAATACATTATATCTTCGTTGAGTTGCTCACATCATTGGAAATGCTTCAAGGAACCATTACCACCACATAAGTGGTTGAAATTTTCAATATGTAACCTCTTATTTGATGACTTTGATTTATAAGTGGGTCTCTAGAGAAACCGCATCAAGGGAACTCATTTGCTACTTCTCCATCTTCATCTATTCTAAAACACTTTGCATACCATTTCAAGCCCTGAAGAAGGCAAACATAATAACCCAAAAATACTAATCACTTGCTAACAGTTAATGTAGGA